CTGCAGAGCCGGCCCTACCACAGGGCGAACGGAGCAGCCGATCCAGGCGCTAAGTCCTAGGGGGCGCCTCAGGGGTAAAGAAAATTAAAGGAAAAATTATTTTTTTCACTTTTCGATATTTTAATTGCAAGCGTGTGGCCAGTATGTGAATGGCCTTATCTGTTGAGACACGCGTGGGTCGAGTGCGTGGGCGGGGGTTCCACCTCCTGACGCCATAATAGAATATTGCTCCATCCTAAAACTTGCCTCAGGACGGCACTGTGTCTCTGGATAGTGGACAAATACGCCGTCACACCTGTTCATTATTGTCTCACTGTCAAACGATCGTCTCTCCTCGTTCTTTATGTCTGAAGTGTCCAGACACTGCCCGCATATATATGAACCCTCACGTATCCACTGTCCCAACATGTCTTCACAATCAGATCAAATGCCCCAGATGGCAGACAATTCGGCGAAATGCCATCTTCCTTCCCTCGGCCAAATGATGCGGCTTTTCTCAAATTCCGTCAACCGTACTTGAAAGTCTTTGTATCGTACTGGCATGTCTGGCATTAGAAAACTTCCAAACATTAGAGACAAAAAAATCCGGCAACGAGTTGCTTAACTTTCCCGGCAACATTTAGTGCAGCATCTGTTATGATATTTTATGAAAAATCTTTTTATATTTTTTAACTATTATAAAATGGCAAAAGGCTTAATTTTGAGGGTAGGGATGGGCTTTATAAAAAAATTTAAATGCTAACAACAAGTAAAATCGTCATTAATTAAGTCTGATCCTACTTCGACCAAAATCACATTTTTGTTTAAATTTTAATTATATTTTTATAAATTTCTCTTAAACAAATTATTTATAATCACTTGTTTGTTATTGTTCCTTAACCCCTTAACGACCACCTGTAATTAATTATGATGTAATTAAGCATAAAAAATACATAAAAAATACTTAAAACTGAAAAAAACGAAAGAAATGCATTTATTTTGAAGAAAAAGCTTCCAAGTTTAAGTTCCTTTGTCTCGCCTTTCTGCGAAATTTAACACCGATGAGTCATTGTTTACACAGCTGGATGACCTTGAACACAGCTGGAGTCGGATTTCCCGGGACATTCTCATATACGTCTCGGAGGACAAGGGTTTAAAGTAGGGTGAATATGAGCGACACGTATATTTTTAAATATTTTTAAAAAAAAAATTAAGATTTTAATTGCGATTTCCGACCCCCCTAATTAATTAAATTTATATAAAATAAAATATATTAATTAAAAAAATTTAAAAACTGTTGGAGGCGTTTTTGACAGAAAGCAGCTTTAAATAACTTTACCGAAGGAAAATCCGTGCGCTACAACTAGGAACCATGAAATAAATTTGATAAAAAACTCCTATTAAAAAACAATTAAGCCTTAATCGAGCCTAATCAAAGGCTCATTAAAATCGCGATAAAATTTTTTCGCGCGAGTAAAAATTTTTGCAAAAATTTGTGACGTAAAAAACATTCCAAAAATTGAAAAAAAAATTTGTTAAAAGTGGCCTTAACTACCGAATTTTACGTAACGCTATGTAAACTTGACGAGTTATCTCGTCAATGGGCGTTTTAAGATTTTATTTTATTCTGATTCTACTCCCAATAAAGCGTAAACAAGTAAAAACTTGAATTCGAGTGGGTTTTCTTTTTATAGGATGACGCTATTTGAATTTGTTTAACCACTTTTATACTAGAACACGTGTGTTTATATGCAAAAAAAAACTTTTGCGTTGTTTGTAGTGTCAAAAGTGTCATAGTGGTGAGTTTGGTACTAATTTTTTATGGAAATATCCCGCATGTCCTGAAATGTCACAATACAAGATTTGGTTATATTTGAATTGTTTAAAAATCTCTCTCTAGACAGCATTAAATAGAGATACTTCCGTACTTTAATTACGATCGCCCGGTATATATCTATGCCCTAGCCTAGCGGTCGCCAACCTTACTGACCTCACTGATCACTAAGTTCACAATTTTGAATCCCGCGGATCACTGCCATGAATTCTTTTAAACGAGACAAACATCTATAAAATAATAATCATAAATCTTCCATTTTTCTTTATTAATATGAAATTCACTTGTTTAATCATAACAAATTAGTATGAAGTTTATTGCTGCTTGTTTGAAAGTTTATGGATTCTTGGCTCTATTCCACGAAAGACGACTATCGCACTCACAACATTATTTATTGATAACAGTGATTTCGTGTTTGGTTTCAGATTCGATTAAAAACCCCCAATGAGTGAGAAAAAGCAACCAAGCATTTTGCATTTCTTTCTCAACACTTCGCGTAACCTTGAGTTGATCAACGTCCATATTTTTCCACGGACCACCGATTAGCGACCGCTGTTCTAACCCATATATACACAAAAATAAAAGTATCTTGTTTTCTCTCTAAATATTTTGAAGAAACACTCCCTTACAGCTATAAACCCCTACGATCATTTTTTCGTTCTTTTAGATCATCTTCCACAAACTCCGATATAACCCATACCTCACGGCCGAAGAGGTTAACACCTTGCTCGTATTTATCAATAGAAGAATATTTAGATTTGGAAAGTAATATCGATGATATAATTGAAATTCATCTATATATATTTGAGAAAAAAAAAAAAAAAACTCAGGAGACCAGTATTCAACACAGTTACATAAATTTAAACAGTTAAATGACTGCGACCACACGTATTATAGAAAAAGAAATGCAGTCAATTTAATTCTGTTAGACTATTAAAAATATACATGTTAACATTATAAAATTTTAATGCTGTATCTCTCAATATTTAAAAATTTTTTGCTTTTAAACAAAAGAAAGTTCTCATATTCAAAATTGCTTTTATCTTAATATAGACAGAAATTTTTATGTATAAATTAAAAAATATAGTTCAATTAAAGATCATTTTCATTTTGTCTTTTATTTCTTTTGTTTTCATATTTTTTACATTACATTCTTCAGATTTTCACTTATAAATCCACTAACATTTCAAATTAAGAAAACAAAATTGAAACACTTTTCAGGTTAAAAATTAAATAAACAAAAATTATTACAATTATAAATTTCTTAAAAATGACTTCTTAATATAGCAAATCAAACGTTAATTCTTTATAGAAGTCATATTTTTAATAGTCATTATTTCTAATGGTAAAAGCACTCTGAGGACCCAGGGATTGAATCCAGACAGGATGAAAAACCTGAGTTTTTGGGTTGTCTGTCCAGGTAAGTCAGGCCCCATTCCTCCCCACTCTGCTGCCCTATTGTGATCCTGGTCAAACCAATAATGGGGTCACTTAAAAAGGCCCTCTTGCTTTCACAGGACAGAAAAAATTATAAAAAAAAGGATAAATATTTTTGAAACAAAACCATTTTAAATAATGAATATTGAAGACTTCATGACCTTTTTGATTTAGTTAATTATTAAAATCTTTCAGCTATCTTTAAACTATTCAAAATCAATCACTATTTTATTTAATCAATATTAATTTTTAAAAAATTAATTAAATGTTAAAATAAAAACATTCCTTTCCATTATTATTTACAAATTTATTCTTCACTCAAAATTTTAACATCATTCGTAATAATTAAAAGAATTATATCTACAATATTTTCTATGTTTATAATAATCATAACTTATAGCAAAATATATTTACAAAAATTATAGTAATCTGATTATCCAGCCTAAAAAAAGACTTGCAGACTATTAAATTAATGATAGTATTAGATAATAAAGAACAGTGAAAAAGACTGTAAATCTTATAAACTTAATGAGTACTTAGTATGAATATAAAACAGATTTGTTAATAATTATTCAATTAAATCATTTTCTTTTCACTAAAGTAAATCGAATAAAGTGATGTTACGGGGAAAAAAAAATTAGAAAAATAAAAGACAATTACACTATGTACACTATAAACATTAATAAATACAGTATACAGATAAACAAATGAAGCTATGTCCACAATAATATGTGATATACTAAAAAGCAAAAGCAATAGTATATAAACACTATATAGTATGTCATATGGATATGTTGTATAACAAAAGATTGGATAATTCAGACTCTATTGTTTCATTTTATGACTGAATAATTTGAAAAAATATGAACTTAAAAAACAAACTTAATCTGTAAATATAAAAATTCATTTAAAATTATATCCTTTTTGAAATATATACTAAATAATTAAACCTAAGCGGAACCTACTTTTGATTTTATGTTTCTTTTCTTAAAAAGCATTTATGTTGGACTTGAACTAAATTTTTTAAATATTACATCAGTTTTGAACTAATATTTATTATTATTAAAATAATTTATTTTAACTTAAAAACTCTTTAATAAGAATGTACCATGATCTTATTTATTTAATCTGTAAAAAAGTTCAAAGGACACTTGAAATTATTCTTTTTGGATCAAATCCAAAAATGACTGTTCTGCTCCACAAAGCCTGTATCTGTACAATATTAAATATTCATGAAGCACTTGTGAAATTACAGCATCAAGGTACAATTCTTACAGGAAACTGAAGAATAAAAATAAATATTATACAATGTAATTTCATCTCATTACTCACTTAGACATACAAATCATTTGTTAGATTCAAACTCTATATGTACTGTATTTAATAATTTACAGATGATGATGATTAAAACATAAAATTTTAACATTGACAGGTTCATTTAATTAATATTTATCACAAAATATTTAATAATGAAATATTTTAAAGTGTGTTTTGTTTAAAAAAAGTTATGTTAATCAGTGCCAAAACTTATTTATAATGATAGCCTATATTAAAATATAACTGTAAATGAAAAATTTTTAAATTGATCATTTGAATTACTTAGTCTCAAACTCTTATTTAAATTTAATATATTATCATTAAACAATGTGTTAATCATTTAGATATTTAGAAAAAAGAAATTCTCTTTAATCAAAATGAATCACTATATATTATAATTAAAATTTTCATAATTTATATTGTTAATACTTACTTTTAAAAAATTATACAGGTAACAAATCATCACCAAGTTCTTCATTATCAAATTCATCTTCAACAGGGTCTTTGCGTCTTGCTGCAGTTTTAGGTCGCTCTTGTTGAGGTCCTAATGGATCTTCATAACTTGCATCTATAGAAACAAATTTTATTTTTTATTACTATAATTTAATGTAAATAATTTAACATATTTTATCACCATACCAATTTCTTTTCTTGCTGGCTGAAATGGTTCTTCTGCTTCTGAAATAAATTTATGGTCTAATGATCTTGCTGATGCTGCAAGAGAATTTCGAGAACTGCTTCTATGTGGTGTTCCAGGTGGAGCGCTATTAACTAATGAAAAAATAATTCCAGTTTTTATGTTATTATTTTTATCCTATCAAAAAAAACATTGTTAACTTACAACTACTTGCTGAACCATCTCTTGAAGTCCTACTACTGCTATGACGACTACCAGGCCGACTAGTATTGCTGGCAACCCTCTATTAAATTAATGTGGTAAATTTCATTTTTAAATATTTTATATAAATTTTTATATGTATTATACTAATAAGTGAGTTAAGCAATATTTTATTGAATTGGAACATACTAGAATTTCATGTTAAAATTTTACACACACAAAATGATTAAATAAACTAAATATAATTTACAAATAAATAAATACATGAATCTATTGGGTATAAATATTTAGAACCTTTGCTTATAGTCTATTCGTTGAATTAATATAGCAGATATATGCAAAGCTTAAGCTAATCATATGCTATTGTATCCACTATTATAATATCAGTAAATTAAAATTTTTTTTAATAATAACAATTTGATGCACGAAAACTGTTCTATCTAGGGATGACCATTCATCCCAAATTCTAGCTTTGCATCCCACATAGATACACATCCCAGAATTAACAATTTGTTTATTATCAAAATTAATTTAGTTTATATAGTATTTCCACGTTTGGATCATATTATTTTCGAAGCCTTGCATTGGCAGCATTGCATGTGCGCTCTTGTTTGCAATGAAATTTGCTGCAAACTTCATTGTGAACTTGTGGCAAGAATGGTTATAATATAACCATTATTCCTAAACTCTTGAAATTGTTTTCTGTTGTTTTGATAATTATTCTATAAATTAATAGTACTGTACTTTAATTGCAAAGCATATTTTTTATAAGGAAGTATTAGATTTAGCAAAATACCTCATCAACTAAATCAAGAGCAGTGGTAAGTATTTTTAGAGTTTAGAAAAACAAACTGTACTTTATACAATATTCGAAACTGAAAAATGCAGTTAAATTAAATTTAAATAGTAGTTTAGTTTTTTAACACAATTGCTTAAATTTTCTAAATTTAACTTTTTTTTTAGAATCCTTCCAAATGGCTGTCAAGAAAAGATTGTAAATTCAATGATGATATTGCAAAAGAATTTCCACGCAATATTTTTCAAAAAACAATTTGGTGAAGAGGAATGACAGCTTGCACTGGCTGAAGCAGTAATTTCATTTCACATAGATGACTATGTGAAATGAAATCACTGCACAATCAATCATTAGATCTATGGACTTCATGTCAAATTTAATCAAACTATTTTTGGAGTAAAAATTTTCTTGCATACATACAAAAACTGAAGCAATAGTTAAAATGTGATAAAACCCTTTGCAATCTCCACTCTTAAAATCAAATTAGAAAACACTCACTTTATTACAATTTACACAGATACTTCAAACCACAAAGATTTAGAGTTATTTCTGATCTTCACTAGATATTTTAATTGCAAAGAAGGTGTTCAAGTTAAAATTTTACATTTAGTCGCTCTTCCCGGAGAAACATCAGAAATAATCAAAGTCAGTTATTGATACTTTGGATTCAAATAACTTGATGAAATATTGTGCAGATAATACAAATTCCAATTTTGGAGGTGTTAATAGAAAAAGAACAAACAATGTATTTTTGCAATTAAATAATCAATTACATTGTACAATAATTGAAATAGGTTGCATAGCACACATAATCCACAATGCAGTTCAAACTATGGCAGATTTGCTTCCTTTAAACAGTGAAGGAGAAATTAGAGAAATTTATAGCCACTTTTACATTTACATGATTTGAGTAAAAAATCTGAAGCAATTTTGTATTGACAGAGGTAGAATACAAGCGATTATTAGGGATATCCAAAACAAGATGGCTAGCTCTACTACCACAGTTGGAAGAGTGTTACAATTATTTAATCCTTTAAAATCATATTTTCTTTCAATTGATAAGTGCCACAACAGTTTTAAAAATTTCTTTTCAAATGAACAAACTGAACTTTGGCTTCAATTCCTTAAAACATGGGCATCAGTATTTCATAATTTAATTTAAAAAAAAAAAGGAAGAGAAAAGGACAATTGTTGAAATTTCAGAAAAAATCAATGATCTCACATTTTTAAATTTGAAGACAGAATGGATTCCACATTTCTACCACCAAGTTTAAACACTATTTTAATCAATCTAATCAAAAATGGAAATACAGTAAGACCCCGCTTAATGCTACCTCACTTAACACTGATTCGATATAATGCCGTCTGCTCAAAGCCTAAAAAAAAAGCTCAAAATTTATGCCAATTTAAATTATTGCAGCATTTTATTGATTCATACATAATACAGTTATTTACAAACACAAACCAATCAGAAAAAGGTGGCAAAAATGTGTACTGTCTGTAAATCTATATTTGATTGGTGCAATTTTGGAAAAAATATAACATCATGGATGCTATAGGCAATATCGGCTTCACTTGGCAAGAATTAACTGATAAATGAACATATGAAGTGTGGAAGAAGTGTGGAAAAAGTTATAGCTGAAGGTATCCAAGAATTCTCAATGAGAAAAGCCTATCGCTGTGTTGTTAGGTTGATCAAACTGAACCTAATTGATATAGCAGGACTAAGGGATGTAGACAAACAGGATATTGAGGAGTTACTGCCAGTTTCTGGTGAGAGTCTTATCAACGATGACCTTCAAGAACTGGCAAAACAAGGAATCCATGTACAACTGGAAAATAGTGATTCTGAAAATGAAGAACCCAAAAAATTTCTTTACAGATTTCCTTAGTAAAAGTTTGGTAACAATAACCAAAATCGTTAATCAAATTGCAGCAAATGATCCAGAGTTTGAAAGGAGTGCTAAAGCAAAATGAGGTGTTTTGGATGCGATATTCTGCTACCGACATTTGCTTAAGGAAAGAAAAAGTGACAAATGAAACTTCATGACTTTATTGCAAAACACAAGAATTTCAGAAAAGTCAGAACCTTCGTCACAAAAAATGAACCATTAATATAGAAAAAATGAACTAATTAATATATTATTATACATTTCTGTGTGTGCATATATTTGTGTTATTTAACGTATATTATTATATAAATTAATATAAAAATAACTTAAAGTAAAATTTTTTTTATTTTTGGTTGCATGTTCCCTTATCCCTATTTACTCTAGGTTAAAGTAACCTCATTTAATGCTATTTTGTTTAGTGCTTTGTTATCTAGGAATGCATCCCCTGCATTAAGCAGGTTCTTACTGTATAGACAAAAAATGGTTTATTAAACAAATTATACATTTTTATACAAATATTGTTTCTTATCTAGAATTACGGGGTAAACAATTTGAAAGTGCAATTTTGAGTGCAATATTTGCAAAGTCTTCAAGCAACAAATAGAAAACTGTGATGAACTTCTTAAAAATATTCATACTGTTGCAAAATACTCTTAACTACTCTTAAAAGTTTTAAGTTGGGTTCAAACAGTGTACAAGTGATTAGTTTGAAGTTAAAACTAATCACTTGTTCAAATTATTTATGCTTTAAATAAAAAGGTTTTATTGTATTTGTATTTGTTTCATAAAGTATAAATTTTTAATTTTTTTGTAAAATTACCCCCCCTCCTATCAGGCTCAATGTCCCGAATTGCACCACAGAAAAAATGGTCAGCCTAGTTCTATTATCTCAACTCAATAAAAGAACTTCAATTTTTAAACTTCATAATTTAAAGGAGTTATAATTTTTAAATTAATCTTCAGTTATAAATCACTTATACTCTGGGGGGGAAACAAATTTTGTTTAATAATATTTAATAAAACTTTTTAGTATAATTAATTTCAAATATACTTTTGAAGTCAGTTACACTATTTATTCATATTAAATAGCATTTTCTTTGCTTTAATAAAACATTTTATGATTAAAATAAATTGAAATTTATTTTAGTGGTTATGTTAAACAAAAAACATAAAAAGCATAGTTTATTTGCTTAACAAATGAAATTTGTTTCATCAGAAACAATCCTTAATATGAATTTACATTGTATAAAAATCATCAATAAATTCATATTAAAATTATCATTAAAAAAACTGTTTCATGTTATAATTTTTATACAATTAAAAATTTTGCTTTTTGTAAAATAATTTAGAGTTTCATTACCTGTTCTTTAAGCTCCTTTGCTTTTTCAGCTTTTTTTAATTTCACAGCATATTCTGCTGCTTCTTGCAAGCCAAGATCAGTACATAATCTGACCAGAAACTTCAAACCTGAGAAACAATCAAATAAACAATAATTTTCAAATCGTTAATTAAAAATATTTAAAAAATGATTTCTTACATTCTGTGTTTTCAGGAAACTTTTTATGGATATGTTTATAAGTCTGTAATGCATGCTGATAATTTCCACTTCTGCGATGACAACTAGCAACCATAAGTTGCCATTTAACTTGTGAGGGTCTAAGATTAAATGTTATGAGATTATTATTATCCTTAATATTGCTTACTTTAAACAAGTAAAAATAAAAATTGCACTTAACTGTATAATTGCTGCTCTTTCAAAATATTTTATAGCTTTTTCATACACTTGAGAATCAATATGATATGCTCCTAACCATTCAATTATTTCAATATTTGAAGGAAAATATCTATATGACTAAAAATTTTATATATATAGATAGATTTTGTTATGTAAAATTGTAGAAATCTAATCATTTGCTTACATCTGAATGATATTGAAAAGCTTGCTGCTTGTCACCTTCTGCTTCACACATGTCACCAATTTTAGCCAATAAGTGTGGATCAGTTGGAAGAAGAGTAGCTAATTGTTGATACCTAATTTAATATTTCATTAATTTTAATTAAAAATCATTTATTTAAAAATATTTATAAGCTTACCATTCCATTGCCTGATCCAAATCTTCTAGCATTTCATATCTATTTTTATGAATTAAAGAATATATCAATTTAAAATCATTTTTTTAAAAATTGAAAGCAGGTTTTTTACTTATTAATATACTGTATTATCATCATGTTTAAAAGCATTATATATTTTAAAAAGGATACACACTAGCAATTTCATACACAACTTGTGGGTGATTTCGAACAATAGCATGAAATTTATAAAAACATTCCAATGCCTCCTCTAAATTTCCAAGTTTTTTATTTGTTAAACCTATATTATTTAATATCAGTTTAGAAACATTTCTTACTTTTTATAAAACACCATGTTTGAAAATAAATTAAATTACCTAAGTTATATAATGCTTCCATACAACTAGCTTCATTACTCAAAGATTCTTTGTAAAATTCTTTTGCCTTCTCAAGATCACCACGTCTAAAGCATGTGTTTCCTTTGTTTACTAATGCTGAAAATATCAAAGTTTCTTATTTTTATAATATAGGAAAATATAATTTAATATATCCCAAATTTGTAATATTTACCTCCAGCATTATAACGATCTGAGACAATAGCTTGGTCAGCATATAAATCAGCCTGAGTATTATCACCTTGCTGAATAGAGAAGTAATAGATTTATCATTTTACTGTCATAAATTATAAAAAAAAGTTTTTTTTTTATATGCAGTGTATAAGATAAACAGATTGCTTTCTTTCTTTTGCCACTAATTAATAATACTTTTTGTACCATTTATTATTTTGTTTGAATTAATATAGTAATATTATATGCCATGTTGTATTTGTAATTATGAAAAGTTCACTTAAAACAGTCATGTAATAAAAGTGACAGTACTTGTGTGTATTAGCAATTATCTTTAGCCATTTTAATACAGACCTGTTTTAAGATTTTATATTATAAGTTATATTGTTGCATATACTAACTTATCATTACATTTCTAATTTAATAATATAACAATTAAATGCTTACAAAATTTTTAATATAACAAAAATCTCACCAAAAAATAAAGAAATGATAAATTAGTTGCAGCTATACTTGCTACTTTTGTTTCTTTTTTTTCAAACATTTTTAATGTTTCTATTGCCTAAAAAATAAAATTTCACACTTTAAAGGTAAAAAATTTTTCTTATATTTCAAAAATAATGAAAATTTAATTTTTTACCTGGTTAAATTCTCTCTTCCTTAAATACATCACAGCTTTATTAATTTCAAGATCATTTGCTAATTCTGCATGGGAAGATGCATTTATCTGTTGAACACACCTATGACAAACACAATTTTTACAAATGCTTTAAATAAAACTTTTAATTTTTATATTCAAAATCTACATTAATAGATACCATTCATATCCTTCTGAAACACTTGAGAGAATTACGGGAGCAATCAATTTTGCTGCTGTCAGAATACTAGATTCAGCTTCTTGTCTTCTATTAATGCAGATTTTATAAAAAATAAAAATTTGTATACCAAAATAAGAAAACAAAACAATCATGTAGATAAATGTATAAGCATATGTACTGTACTTTTAGTGTTTTGTAACTAAAAATCTTAAATTTATTGTGTAATACCTTCAAAATATAAAGTTTCATTCTAATATAAACAAATTGTTAATAGAAATTTTCAAATTTATGCAATTTCAAATAGAATACAATATATTTCAACAAAATATGTATCAGGTGCAGTAATGCAATGCTAAAAATTTTCCATCTTACATGTATGATGATAAGATGTAAGATGAGAAAATACATGTTCTATATTTGTAGTTTCCATTGATAAAAACTGTACAAGCATTAAAATTTTTTTAATATTTATAATAATTTATTTTGTTTTGTTTAATTTAATGTTTGCTAAAATTACATGTATAAAAAAATGATGATTTTAGTATTTACATGACTATAACAAGCAACATTCATATTTTGTTCAAAAGCATACTCAAAGCTTTTGTTTGAACAATATGAATATTTGAGTATGTTTGAATACATTGTATTCTAATCCTTAAATTTACATATACATGAAAATATTTTATTACAAGGAATGAAAGTACTTGCTTTAAACTGGTATTTTTCAAATTAACTTACATTAAATAATACAGATATATCAACTAGAATGCTTTTGCAGTCTGTTAGTCTTGCTAATAAGTTAAACAGCACATAACTCAAATAAGCATATTCTTGTATTAATGCAATATATAGAGATCTCTGTTGATATTTCAACATATTTAGGTTGAAATAGCAACTGACATCTCAAATAAAGTTTTATTTTATTATATTTAAATATTTTGTAAATGATATTTTTTATAAAATATGGAATTTCAAAAAAACATACAGGTTACAGGCATATTGCAATTAGTGGTATCAGAGATTGATTTCTTTTCTAATAATTATTTTAATATTAGATCTCATTTTTTATGAAAAAGTAAGAAAAAGTACCTTTTTCTTTCTATCTTTCTTAATGCATCTTCTTTGATTGCTTCCATAATCAAATTTGAATGAGAATCTTCCTAAATTCAATAAATCATTCATAACTATTCAAATTTAACTTGAATTTAGAATTATTATTGCATTCATTACTTAAATAATAAGTTTCTTACTGAATTTGAAGAATATTTTTCATCGTCATCTACATTATCAAGAGTTACATCAAGAAGTTTTAAAAAACTATGTTTCATCTTTTCTCGATCACCCAATGAATAATGGCAAAGAATAAGATGAAGAGCAGTTTTAAAATCTGGTTTCTCAGCCATTATATATTCAAATGATGTTATAGCATCAGTGAATTGTCCCATTTTCACAAAAGTCAATCCAATATTCTTCATTATTTTTATCCTACAATATTAAAACTTTATGGTCAAACATCAATTGACATTAAAAAATTTAACATTAAAAATTAAAATCTTACCTCATATCTTTATGAGTATTTGGTAGTTGGTCTAATGCCATTCTGTAAAATTTAATTGCTTTTGGATAATTACCCTGATTATAATAAATGTTTCCAATATTTACCTTTAAACGCCCTACAATATTTAATTCCAATAAGTTAAATATGAAAAAAGTATATTCAATTAAATTAATTACATATAAATGAAAAACTGTCTTATTTTAGCATAATATATAATTATATAATATATATTATAATTACATCTACAATAAACTGCTAATGGAAGTGAAACAGAATACATTAACATTTCAATGTTTGAGATGGTACCTTCTAAACTGCATATTTATAAATGTTATGATTTCAATGATAAAGTTTTAAAGTTTTGGCCAATATAATAATAGTGGAGCTTATAAAAAATTTTATTTCTGTTCTAGCAATTCTCTACAGGTTATCCACATGAAATTATAGTAATTCTATAACTTATTGTTACTTTAATATTTATTTTTATTTTACATTAAGCAGAGATCATGCTAATTTATTATGGAAAATTGAAATTATATAAATAATGTTTTTTTAAAGAAAATAATTTCTAAATATTAAAAAAAAAACTAGAAGTAAATACAAAATTAATGACTTAGTAAAAACAAAAAAAAAAAAAAAAAAAAGATTTTTAAAATCCAAAATTTTCAAAAACGTATTCAAATAAATTTTTTAGCAATTTGTTTTCTATCAGTAAATTCAAAAACTAGTTAAGAGCATGAATAGTTCAAATCTCACTAAAGAAATTTTATTTATTTACAGAATAGTATAAGGTAATGCCATTAAGACAAAATTAACCTTTGAAGATAACAACAAAACTTCCTTGGTAAAACCAAAAATTATAATAAAGAAACATGATGATAATGAAAAAATGACAATGATAATGGTGAGCTACTGTACTGTACATATAAAACTTTTCTACAAAAACATTTAAATATACAGAAATCTTGATATAATATGTCCTGCATCAGGGGTGTCCAACCTTTTTGTTTCCCTAAGCCACATTGGAAGAAGTCACGGAGTTTTGGGCCACAAGTATATTATATATACTTGTGGCCCAAGTATATTTTGGCCCAATCCTTAAACATACAAGTATATTTAAGGATTAACATGTCTAGATTACAGTAATAAGCATTAAAACTTTATTACAAAAAAAAATATTTTAAAAAATTACTTCTATAGACACTTTCAATTTTTACTTAGAGATAAATAAATTCATTTATTATAAAAGAGACAAACAAAAATTTATTGAAAAACACAAATATTTGTTTTATTTGAGTCTCTAATCATTTTAAAGTGCATTCTTATTCAACTAATATATTTATAAATAATATGTAGCCCAAAAAGTAGCCAATGCGCCAAATGATATTTTTTATGCCAAACTAATAAAAGGGTAGCCAAATTTGGCACAAAGTAGCCAAATCCTGCAACACTGGAAGGAGTACTAAATAAAGCTGGAGTTGGGACTCAAAGGATTATAGACCCAAATGCAGGGAAAGGAGAGAAAGCACAAAAGATAACGAAAGGAGGAAAGTTGGAAAACTACTTTTTATCTTTTGGCCTTTCTCTCCTTTCCCTGAATTTGAGTCTATACTCTTTTGAGTCACAACTCCAGCTTTATTTAATATACCTTCCTCATTCACACATTTCCAAGTACAGTAGAACCTCGATTATCTGGACTAATTGGGGATGAAGGTAGTCCGGATAAGGAAAAATTCGGATAATCGAAACAAATACTTTGTCTTTTAATGATAATACAACACATTTTCTTTTCGATGACATATCGGTAATATTAAAAGTAAATACTATATTTAAATCGTGATCAAATTTTCAAGAAACAAACATTCATATTGAATTTGGACTACTACTGACCAATGCTAACAGACTACCTATTGTTTAAAAGGCCCTCTGGTGGCGCAAGAAGATGGACTTTATAAAATAAAAAGCAGTTGAAACTGCATTTTTATGAATAAAAATTTGACAAACTATTTATTGTTTTATAACGAGTAAAATTTTTTCGTTGTGTCCGCAGCTTTTAAGTAATGCATAAACCTTTGAAACGCGAGGCCCTTCAGAATGTGAGGCATAGGCGGTGGCCCATGTTGCCCATGTCTTACGCCGCCCTTGGTCATAGAAATGATGTAATTTGAAAACGAAATTATTTATAAATATGTATGTCAAGTTATATTTTTATTACGACACAAAATATATTTAAGAGTTTACGACCACTGTGCTGGGTGAGACGTTGCTGAAACAAAAAAAGTACATAAACAGTATTGTAATTCACCAAGTGCAAATCAGCAAATTCGTAAAATTTTTCTTTATTTTGAACAATCCAGATAATCGAAAATCTGGATAATAGAGATCCGGATAATCAAGGTTCTACTGTATTTGAAAATATTTCCTTTCCACTCAAAATTAAAATATGTATAAAGGTTTATGGCTTTGTGAAACATCTGTTTTGGTTTGTGCCATTGAAATAAATAAATAAATAAAATAAAAGAATTTGTCGGTTTTGTTTACATGTTTATTGGGCTGCATTGGAACTTGCCTTGGGCTGTTTGCGGCCCGCGAGTTGGACACCCCTGTCCTACATGTTTTGAATTAAGCTTATGAATCTATAAAAAACGATTTTTGAAAGCCTAAAATAAGGGAATAAGATAATAAATTGAATTTTGTTTTAATTAATTAAATTTTCTTAACTGAAGAAGACTATTAAATATAGTTGAAAACGTTTTTATTTTATTAAATACTTTGTTGCTGGAAATACTAAGTAAGTTTAATGTGAGTAAAGCAATCCTTTGTGCATCCATTTCTTTCTACTTTTTAAATTTTTTTGCCTGGAACTTTAGGTAATTGTTTTTTAATCAGATGCTTAATACTATACACATCAATTGTTTTTGTTTATTGTTTGTTTTTGAATTGCCTCTCTTTTGAAGATGTATTTTACCTGTCTGACGTACCCAAGGCTTTAAATTTAAATCTAGAGTTTTCTAGTGAGAAATATTCTCTATGATCCAGTTATCTGGTTTTATATTCCAATATGTAATATTTTATTATGTGGTTTAATAGTCCATTGTTTTGTCAAAATCATATAAACTATTTCACCGTGTTATTGATACTTAGGATATATGCTTGACTTTTGCATATAATGCATTCTTAAAACTGTGTATGAAAACTGAATGTCCAAAAGTTGAACAATAGAGTTGCATGTTATAGAGGAAGTTCCTTTTTNATTTTTAATTAAAAATTAATTTATTGTTAACTCACACAAAATGTAAGATCCATATTTGCTGATGCTTCTGAAACAAGTTGTTCTCTTTGTCTACTTAAAGCTCTTTCCTTGGCTGATGCTTCTTTTGCTTTTTCAAGTGCCTTAAAATAATTTTATGTAAACAACTTTCAATTTTATATAAGTACATAAAAATTATCTTACCAATTTCATTTCATTACGACTTGAAGCTCTGCAGCTCTCTTCCATTAATTCTTGAACTTTCTTCTCTAACTGTTTAAGTAATTCTTCTGGACTAAATACACAGTTTCTCATTTGAAATATTTTATAATATGTCTTAAAAATAAAAGTAAAATACATTAGATATGTTTCTACCTATTTTCATCTTTTATCTGCAAAGGAGATACAGAATGTTTAGCTTGATTTAATGGATCAAACATTCCAGTTTGGACTAAAAATGTAAATACGAATATTTTATTTTTTAAATTATTTTCATATCTACATCAGATTAACATTACAATTTTTACAAACCTCTATTTCCAGCTGATGAATAACCAACACCTCTAACAGCTGTCATTGGCCTAGCTAAACTATCTTGAGAATTTGTTGTAGTATGACTTGCTGAAGACAACATTGAAGTGTGTCCATGATACTAAACAGTAAAATATTAGATTTACATTAGATATTACATTTTACTACATTAACAGTAAAAGTTATGTTAAATAATTACAGTTGAACTCGATTATAATGAGCATTAAGGGACCAGCAAGATTTTCTCATTATAACCGTTACTCATTATATCCATGACGGGCAGTGACATAAGTAGAGAGAATGGGCAGCTGCTTTGGGCACAAACATGTAGGGCACCCGTGGGCAGAAAAATTTGTAGCTATGCCACTGATAATTAGTAAAATCTTTTAATTTTTAATTCTAAATAAGTTGATTCAAAATATATATATACTAGCAGGTAGGACCGCGTTGCTCGGGCAAAAGTAACAATAGGGAAGATTAACATTATTACGTTATAGTCAACCTTACCCGTTTTCACAGAATGCAAGAATTGGGTCCCCCTGTTTCCGGACTGATTAGAGAATTTTTAGATGGGTCTAAAAATATGTTCGATTTTCCGCAAAAACGAAAAAATTGCATCTGTGTCTGGAAGTGTTACATAACAATGGAATTGTTATGTAACACTTCCATTGTTACTTAAGACTTCCATTGTTAATGGAAGTGTTAAGCCTTAATCCTGTCTCTCTCCCCCGTCGGGAAGAATTTTGAAAAATCCCTTCTTAGTGTGCATTCTCGTAATGTACCCTAACTGTGTACCAAATTTCAACTTTCAACTCCTAACCATTTGGGCTCTGCACCTATTATTATTATGTTGGGTTTAGTGAGTTATACTCGGTACACACCGGTGGCTGTGTACTATGCTGGACCAGAGTCAAGGCATAGCAACCAAGAGCTAAAATTAAATAAGTGTGTGTCTGTATTCAGGAATTTCCTAACAATATGGCATGCATTCAATATAGTGGCCTTTTGTAGTGTGACATATGTATTTCTATTCAATTGTAATGTTCCCAGGCTTTTGTGTAGTGTGTGTGGTATCACACCTGTACAGGAGAGAACGACAGGTACAATAAGCACCCTATCCATCCTCCACAGATGCCTTATTTCTTGGGCGAGTTCTATGTACTTGCTAATTTTTTCAGTGCATGTGTTTTGTATATTGTGAGTGTTTGGAATGGCTATATCTATAATGTATGTGATTTTATTGTGTTTGTCAATAAGTGTGATGTCTGGTCTGTTGTGGTAAATTGTTTTATCTGTGATTATGGCTCTGTCGTAGTACAGTTTGTGCATATTGTTTTTCAATACTATCTGTGGAATATACTTGTAGTATGGTTCATGCATGTCTAATAATTTGTGTTTGTTTGCAAGCTCTTGGTGTATTATATTTGCTACTTGATTATGTCTGTGTAAATAATCTGTCTGTGCCAAGAGCTTGCAACCAGAAGTGATGTGTTGTATAGTTTCTGGCATGATGTGACATTTTCTGCATGTGTCATTTGTGAGTGTTGTATCTTTGAGTATGTGTTTTCTGTAGTTTTTAGTATTTATGACCTGATCCTGTATGGCAATCATGAATCCTTCCGTCTCCCCAAAGAGGCATCCCCGATCTAACCAGCTGTTTGACGCAGTTTTGTCAACAAAATCCTGGGCCAGGTCATAAGGATGCCTGCCATGGAGTGCCTTTCGAGCCCACGATTGCTTGATGGTGTCTATGCTTTTTATGTGTTGTGTCATGTCTGTATGATGTGAGTGTAAGTTTAATGGTGTGTTATTTGAGTCTGCTAGAGTTACTGCTTTATGTAACTGTGATGTTTCTTGTTTCTTGTAGAAAAACTCTCGCAGTGACTGTATTTGTTTGTAGTGAAGGTTAACTATGTCAATCAGGCCACGTCCGCCTTCTTTACGTGGAAGGGTTAATCTTTCTGTGGCGGATTTAGGATGATGTTGTTTATGCTTAGTAAGTGTTGTTCTTGTTTTCCTTTGGAGTTGCTCGAGATCTGTGTGAGTCCAATGTATAACTCCAAAAGAGTATGTGAGTACTGGGATGACATATGTGTTTATTGCTTTAACTGTGTGTTTTGCATTTAACTGTGTTCTAAGTATAGCGTTTAACCTACTTTGGTATTCTTTAATTAATCGTTGCTTTATTTGTGTATGTTCTGTTAGTTTGGCCTGTTGGAATCCTAAGTACTTGTAGAACTCGCCCTCTTCCATGGATTCAATAACGTCTCCATTTCCAAGTGCAAAATCTTCTTTCTTCAGGATTCCTTTTTCTATGTGAAGTTTTTTGCATTTGTCTAAGCCAAACTCCATTTGTATGTCCTTAGTGTATGAGTGTGTGATTTGTAGGAGTTGATGAAGTTGTTTATGTGTGGATGCATAAAGTTTTATGTCGTCCATGTACATGAGATGCGATTATTATTATTATTATCATCATTATTATTATTATGTAATTAAAGATATTATTAATTAATAATATGACTGATTTCAGTTAGGTTTTTTTTTATCTACAAATCTTAAAATTGATGATTGCTTTATTTTTCGAGAATGTTGATAGTGTCAAAGATGACAAAGAAAACTTTCTAGACACACTTCAATGCTTTTATCACCACATTCTAACTTGCAAATAATTTCTGTTTTTTCATAAACCAAGAGACATTTTATCTTTTCATAGCCATTTTGTTGATATAAGGGTCCATTTTGAACTAGAGCAGTGTTTTTCAACCTGTGGGTTGCAACCCCCAGAGCGTCGCAAAGTCTTACACGGAGGTCGCAGGTAAAAGAAAAAGACAAGTGTTTGTAGGTCCTACACTACAATAAAAAAAACTACAATTTCAGTGAGAAGACTCTATTTTAAAGTAGAATTGGTTTTTCAATTGATATTTAGGTCTCAACAGAAATAAAAATTAAATATGTAGTTTTTAAAATCACTGACATAGTTTGAATATGGCCCTGGGGGTCACAAGAATTTTTTTAACTTGTAAAGGGGTTGTGTATTCAACAAGTTTGAAAAACATTAAACTAGAGTATAAGGTAATTTTACAATCATAGTGACGATTAGGTAAATTGATAAAATAGGACCAGAAGCTAGTCAAGAAAGAGGGAGACAGTCTCCAAAAAGAAAGTTAAGTAATAAATAAGCCTTTAATCAATGAAAGTCATAAAACTAATTATCCAGCAGTCATAACACTAAGTAACTTTTTATGTTTTATCTCTTCCAAAAATTTAGTATTGCATTTCTTACTATTTGAATAATTAAGAATGTTTGTGTGTTTGCATAGCTACTGAAGATTTGCTTAGTATTTCGTTATAACCATGAAAAAATGTATGGAAATATGCATAAATTAAAATTGTTATGGCATTTTGCTCATTATAACCATAAACACATTAAATCCGTTTTCATTATAACCAAGTTCAACTGCTAACTGCACTATATAAAAAAACTGCTTACTCCTGTTCCTCCTCGAGATGTTCCAATTTTTGCAGTCCCAGGAAGTTTTGCTGTAGCCTGTAAAAATTTAATAATTTAAGAAAAACATATTTCATAAACAATTATTAATTATATTAATTAAAGAAAATTATTGATATATAGCATACAATCGGTCGACGACCATGACTAGTTCGAACTGCTTTTTGAAATCCTTCATCTTCTTGAAGAGTCTGTAATATTTAGACTTGCATTATTTATAAACCTTCATATTTATTATGTACAGTACATATATTATATTATATTGTATTATAAAGATACTAAAAACATTAAAAAACATCTTTAAAAAACAGCAAAAAGAAAATAAATATTTTTAAAAATATGATTTCAAGATTTATTTAATACATTCAATTTCTCTAAATATTATTTCATAATTACATAATCTTTTGAAAGAGTATTTGGAACACAATGAAATAGAAAAAACTCTTTATTGAGTTTTTTCTATTGCATTAGAATATAAAATACTTGTATATATCTAACTATATAATTTATATATTTTCTTTTCATATTTCATATGTATTCTATATATTTTTTTTTAATCAAAATGTATATTTTGTGTTCATATTCTAATTCTTATCTACTAAGTTCTAAAGAAAACACAAAGAATAAGCTTTGCAATTAAAATTAAATTTTATATAAACAATCCAGTCTGCTAAAATATTTAATTTCTTCAGCTAATTCTAATCTTTGAAATAATCATTTTAAATTTGCTTCTTAAATTTTATTATAAATCTCAAAATAAACAAAGTAAATACTGCAATACAATTAAAACCAAACTTAAGATTATAAATAAAGAGAATTTTAGTTATAGTATAAAAACTACATTGTCTTATTCTATTTTTATTGGTAGTTTAACACTTTGCATTTCTATGCAGAAATAATACAAGCAATTTTTGATAAAAAAAATAAGAAAAGAAAAATCAATCTAAAAGAATTTTTTTAATATTTTGTTATTGTTAAAATAGTTAAGATAAATTTTGTGTTGCTTTGCTACAAATAGTGGTTAAAAAGATTTTCTTATTGTTTATTAAAACAACATAAAAATATTTTTGTTAACATCAAATATTTAGATTAAACAGATTATGTATTACCAAAACTTTTCTTCAGAAATAACTTTTATATTAAAAAGTATTGAGTTAAATTACTCAAAATATTTTTACATATATAATAAGTATGAAATCAATTGCTCCTATCATTGGATGTGTTTGATAATGTTCCATAACTTACTAATGAGTATTTGTGATATCATATTGTTATCATCAAACACATTTTCTTTACCTCCAGCAGAAGACATATTTATGACACCATATTTATATTTAAAACATTGAGAAGAATAATGAATTATATATATATAATCATTTATATAAATATTTTCCTTTTAATCAATAAAAGAAGCATAACAATCTGTATGCTTGTTTTAATATATGTTAAAACAAGCATACAGACAACAATTAATATTGCAGTTTCTATATGGATTACAGTGTTAATTAGTCTGAAATAAATAATGGCTTTTGCAAAATGTATTACATTTTGCAAAAGTCATTATTTATTTCAGACTTCAAATTGTGCACTCTTTATCTTTCACCAATTCTACTATTTTCTTGATGGAAAAAACGGATCCACTTTTTCTATGAAGACATCATCTACTGGCATTATTGAATAGATCAGTGCATCTAGTGGAGAATTATCAAACATGCCCAATTTTTATATACTTATATATTATATAAAAATTATATCATCATTATATTCAAAAATTTTTATGTTATTTATTTAAATGTAATCTAATAAGTTAAGAAAATTCAGAAATAGCTTCAAGTATATCATCTTAAGAATTTTAATAAAATTTATTCATTGACTAGTGTTTACACAAATAAAATGGCATCATATAAGGCTTAGTTTGAAGAGAGTTTTGAATAATATTCTATATTATATTTTTGAAATGTGTAACTGGCTTTTAGGGTACTTATAACACGTATAATCACATACAAATTAATTTTATAATTTATCTTTATGAATTATAAACAAAATTATATAACTAGATTTTCACAATTTTTCAATATTTAAGGAAATTTTATATTGTTTCTTTTTTATATATTTTTTACTTCTCTCTTTTTAAAAGTAAATAAATAAATAAAGATTTGTTCAAATATATTTTGAAATAAGATCTGTATGACCTAATATAACTTTTACATCAATGTAATCAATATAGATGTACTTTTATCTGAAATGATATATTTTTAATTTTTTTAATAAAATCATTGTAGATGCATCATTACTAGAAAATTCACATGCATTTAATTTCCTAATGCAGCGGCAGTTCTCTCACTTTTTTGGCTTGTGGCACACTTTATAGCCTACAGGGAATTGTTACTTTTTGTAATTTTATTTTCTATAGATAATTAACTTTTTATACAATGTTCTATTGCTCCATACTCTACTTTTTTGCTACTAGTAATTTGTGTAGTAGAAAAAACCATTAAGCCATTATAAACTTATTATTGTGATAAATTGGTTTTGTTCATATAGACAACACAACAATAAGCAATCTGCCTAGAGGAATGCCTCCCGGGAGGTCTTTTATGGGAAACTGGCCTCTATTTAAATGTTGCAAACATGAAGAAAACTCGTGAAGAAGGCAAGCCCATTGGTCAGGCACAAACCCACAACCAACTACCAGTGTTNGCTACTAGTAATTTGTGTAGTAGAAAAAACCATTAAGCCATTATAAACTTATTATTGTGATAAATTGGTTTTGTTCATATACGACAACACAACAATAAGCAATCTGCCTAGAGGAATGCCTCCCAGGAGGTCTTTTATGGGAAACTGGCCTCTATTTAAATGTTGCAAACATGAAGAAAACTCGTGAAGAAGGCAAGCCCATTGGTCAGGCACAAACCCACAACCAACTACCAGTGTTCAGTGGTGTTATTTACTTGGCCACTGGTGGACTACTGTGATAAGAGAACGAAGATTGAATAAATGCTAAAAAGTGCTGTAAGTTTCATACTTGTCAACCTTTAGAATAGGGAACAGCTGGAACATTGGTAGAAAAATGCAAGAAAATTCTTTATTAACAATGATATTGCATAATGTTTATATTAAATACCTTTAATAAACAAAATTATTTTATTTCTGCAGATATCATGTAAAAAAAAAGCTATTGCCATAAACACTGTGAAGAGTATGACAATTGCATTATACTCTTTAACATCACAGTTTAAAAAAGGTTACAGGACACCTCATAAATTCACATCCAGATTTTTCATGTGTTCCATCTTTGTGTGTCACGAGTCTTGATACTGCATGATGAGTGCCTCCTGTTATATGCCTTTGTATAATATTCTGCTTTGTTAATAATTTATTTTGTTACAGTGTATTCATTACAGTTGTTATAAGTCAGTTTATTGACTTTCACTACAATTATTAAGGACAATGATTTTTCTGGTTTTGATTTATTTCCTATCTCTTAATTTTTTCTTATCATATTGAATATCTTTCCTTTTGCTACACAGAGGCCTTGTAATGCTTTGTGGCAAAACCATCATCAGCATTACTATTTTACAAGATAACAAATCTTTGTAAAATTCCACAAATCTCAAAGAACCATCTGATTTCTTTCTTTGAGAAAGTTTATACCACATTTCCTGTATATTTTTAAGTGAGGAATCAGATGTTTCTTCATTTTGGATGGAGAAACCATAGCACCACTCAATAATTTGGTCTAACTAAAAGTAACATGTTCCTTCCACTGATCAGTCAGCCACGATTGCAATGACACTAACGTTGCCAGACTTGAAGATGCAATTTATCATATCTGCCATTTAAAATGATCATATTTGGACTAAAATTCTTACACATATATCAACACATATATATATATAAATATAAAAATATCAATTTTGGTTCTTTCTCAATTGAAAAAATCTGGGAATGTCTTTCTAGTGCACATCAGTTGTTTGTAATAAAATACAGTAATACCTTGACTTATGCGAACCTGGAGTTATGTGATTTTCAAATCTCGTCAAGTTGTCTTTTGTTTGAGCGCCACGCAACTCTTGATTACTCACTCCCTCCATACTATTGTTCAGCTTACATGTTCGGACGTGTCGCGTGAAATCGACACATAGCTACAATTTATTTTGTGTTATTTATTTCTGTTTGTTATATCTACGGAGACTGGAAAAACCCTATGTCGTAATTTCTTGTAACCGTGAACAAATCAAAAGTCAAGATTAATCTTATCTCGTCTTTTGATTCGTTTTATTAAGATTAATGAGAACATTTATTAGCTTACATACATCTGACTTGGATTTTACACAAATTGCAAAATTAGACCCCGACTTACACGGTTATCGCTCGGTCCCACCTATCGCGTAAGTTTGGGGTATTACTGTATAGTGTCTTTGGCATGTTTATTGGTATTAGACTCGTTAAATAAGTGTTCATATGATAATATCAAGTGTAAAAATGATGACAAAAGGAAAAAGTGGTCTGTGCACTGATGGAGCGTACAAAATGCTGATGGTTGGTAGCTATGCAGTTTTGTCTACACTATTGTTATTTCTCAGCCTTTGCATTCCAGAATCAGCTGTTAAGTAAATTTTCTTCTCTATAAACTTTTAAATGTGAAATATCTCACAGATTTTAATTATTTTGTCTTATTATAACAACATGATATTACCCTGGTATCCAAAAGAGGGTCAACTTCATTATAACCACCGTACAGGTCATCTTCGTCGGCAAGATGCACGTTCTCCATTTTCTTGTTATTACAAACTATTTGGTTACTATGGAAACAAAAAAACTAATTATTACATGCTCAATCTATCCAGTCAACACCTATATTGATTTAACTTTAAATTATTTATGTTTAGAAAAATTATGGTAAAAGTATTATTTAATTATTACTTAAATGAACAAAATATAAACTTTTTTTTTTAATTTAAAGTACGAAATATATCTACATTTTAGTTTCATTTTATAATTTTGTATATAGTATATACATATATGAAATAATACGTAAAAATTAACTCAAAATAAACTAAATTATAGAAAAATAAACAAATCATATTGACATGGTATTTAAGTTTCGATTTAAAGGTGGCGCCTTATATAAAATCGGCGCGCATGTGATAGCACTCCGCTCAATATAACTTTCGTATTGATATTTACTACTTGTTAATTTTGAATGTGAAATAAATTAGCATAGAAATTATTTTTATATATTGAATAATCTAAAAGAATCCTTTGCTATTGCGAGCTAAGACCGATAATTTTTTTTATTCATTTTTAGCATATTTTTAATTGCCAGTTCATTAAATTTAACATGTAATATGTTTCATTTTATTCGTCATTAGGTTTGGCCGAGCTGTTAACGTGACCGCCTACCGCTCTGGGGGAACTGGGATCGAATTCGGACGTGGTCGAAAAATCCCCAGGAATTTTTCGAGAGGTGATCCAACCGGATATGTCGGCCCCGTCCCTCGCCATCCGGCCACCCCATTGTGGGCCTGGACGAATCCACAAATCACTTGCTAAAAAGATCCACTAACTTATAAGTACAGTACATACAGAGTTGAGTCCAAAATGGAAAAAAGTCACGAATAAAGTAAAATTATTAAAACTATCTTATTTTCAGTAAATAACGAGAAAATCTAGCAGAAAGTATCATCTATGAAATTTTCTTTTTCACTTACAGAGCGCTCCATTAATTTATTATTAATTTTATAAGAAAACAAATTAATTACCTTTTATCTGAATTTATTATAAACTTTAAATAAATATTTTATTTAAATAAATGATTTTGTTTTATATAATAATTTTTAAAAAATTTGACTGAGATATTAAATCCAAAATTTGAAAAAAATATATTTATGAAACATTTTGAAATTTTTTTAGGTTGGCAACCTCGTTTGCGCCATCTTGCAGTGCAAACTTCAATCATGCCATGTGTCAATTAAGATTTTGATAAACATTACACTGATTGATTTCAATAAAACTTTAAAAAATGTCGTATTTAACAGAAGAAGGTGAAAACCAAGAAAAAATGAAAACGGAATTGGAACAAAAGGAAATTCTTCAACAAAAACATTATTTTCTTTTAAATGAATTGCAGAATATGGCAAGAGAACTACCACAGTATGTTATGACATGTTATTTTGTTTTAGTAAAAGCTTCTCTCTTCTGATCATAGTAAACAATGATTGATTTATTTTTATTTTATTTTATGATTTATAAAAGTATATAAGTTTCAGTAATCACAATTATTATTATTTTAAATTTTAAATTAAGCTTGGAAAAGTCTCATAAATTGTTAATTAAATAATAATAATAGTAAAACTGATTAGCGAAATATTTGTGTCTAATTTTCATTTTTTCAGAAAATATCAGCAAAGACTACCTTATGAATTACTTTCTAGTTTAGCCCATGCATTATTAGATGGAACTGTGTTCCAGATAGTTCAAGATTTAAAAGAAATACAATATATAACAGAGCGTCAGCTGTTTGAAAGGAGAATGAAGACAATAAATATCAATAAGAGTACAGATTTGAAAAATGAAATGCAATAATGTAAAAGTATGATTTATTTTTCATATTAATTGAATATTATTTATTACAGCTCTTCGCCAAGAAGTACTTAAGAAGCATAAAGAAGCTTTAAGTCAGATTAATCTTCCTAATATTGCAGCTATTCAAGCAAAACAAGAAAAAGAAATTGAAGTTAGTATTTATTATATAATATATATCTAAATTATAAAAAATGGTATGAAATTGATTAATACATAAATTAATGAACAGATTTTAAAATAATAAAAAGAAATTATTAAATATTTTTATATTTCTGTATAGTTTTCCAATGTCAAATTAATTTATAAATAAACTAGCTGTTACCCATGGCTTCGCTCGCACGGATTTTGCAAGCAAACCCTATTTACATTCAATATTTCAACAACTATAGTAATTGTTATTTAACATCTACCGCTGAGAATGATGAGAATTGCTAAGAATCAAACAAATTGTTTTTAATTTGATAAATTTTCTAGAATGTTTACAATCATTCTATAATCAAACCAATATGCAAAAAGATTCAAATTTAAAACGGTTTGAACATTTGGTTAAAAAATTGAAATATATAAAAAATATTTATAACAATGTCTGAAATACCCAATTTAATATTTAATATTAAATATATAATAATATTTAATATTTTTATCAATTTAATACCCTTAAGTACTCAATGAAGACTAAACGTAATTAAAAACAAAAAATGCATCTAAAATAGTACAGTAGAAACTGTTCTTCAGGTTAAGCCTTAATGCTCTCCCTCTCTTCCCCACAGGGGAATTTCAAAAAATCCCTTCCTAGTGTGCATTTTCATGACATACCCTACTAAAATGCAGTTAAAAGCAAAAAATCACATGTAAAATAGTACAGTAGAAGCCGTTCTTCAGGTTAAGCCTTAATGCTTCCCCCCGCGGGGTATTTCGAAAAATCCCTTCTTAGTGTGCATTTTCATGATGTACCCTAACTGTGTACCAAATTTCACCTCTAGGTTCTGGAACTTTCTAGAAAAAACTGGAACATTCTCATTGAAGTATCACACATTTTTGAAGTCAACCACTTTCAAACCCCATATTTCTCACCCTTATAGCTATCGAGATGCAACCACCATAGTGCACGATGGGAGACTTGGGGTTTGTGTATGGGGAGACTACTACCACACACAAACACCATTCATGTGTGATGTGTAGTTTTGGCCGCAGAGTGACGTATAGGCACAAACACATCTATTTTTATATACATTTATAAATAAATTTATACATCAAATCATTAAACAAAACAATTTTCTTATTCAATTTAAAAAAAATTTTTTAAACTAATATATTAATATTGAAATTGAGGAAAAAATGATTTAAAGTGACATCCTAAATGAATTATCAGATATTTACATGAATCAGGTATGACACTATATGTATGTGTATATACATACAAGGGCAGTTTTTTTTTCAAGCTTCAATGGTCCTTAAAACAAAGAGAAATGTAAATAACAAAATGAATTTACTACCAAAAGTTAGATACAAACATCAATCAGACACGTGAAATTTAATATATACAAATTTTAAAGTTGAGCATCATCGTTCCAACGGTCCAATTTGTAAGCCAGTTTAGTTTGTTTCCTGAAGCAGGCCTCGGTGAAGGCTGAAAATGTTCAGAAGATTAGTTTAAGTTCAATTACTGGTTAAAAAAGGTTTTGTTTGTGACTGTTTATTTCTCACTCTAGTATTTCTGAGAAGAAGACTGTTATTTTATGGTTAGTTTTTGACACAATCACCGTGAAGATTAAGGAATTTATCATATCTGTGGACAAGCTACGAGCTTTTCCATTCCCTTGTTATAGCCAGTGAATTGAGATGGCCTTAACAATGTTATTTTGAAGATCGTCATTAATCTCAAATTCCCAATTTAGTGCTGAGCGACTTCCAAATTCCTCAATCTTCACAGTGATTATGTCGAAAAGTAACCATGTACCTAACTTTTGGTAATAAATTCATTTTGTTATTTACACTTGTCTTTTTTTTATGGACCATTGGAGCTTGAAAAAAAAAACAGCCTACTTATATACATTAAACTTTTACCAGATAGTAATTAATCTCAGATTTAAGAGATAGAAGTATGATACTTTTCAGCCATTTTTGATATTAAAGATCTTTCGTACATTTTTCTTTAGTAGGTAGAAATACTTTAAGAATATATACTGAAGTTAGACTTCCACATTAAGAATATCTTTATTCAATGAATTTTTCTGTGGAATATTGAAAATACATTTGTTTTTTAATATTCAATAACCAATACATTTTTGATTTTAAAAAATTCTCTGTATTTTTCAGAGAAAATTTGTTATACAGAAGTTCAATTGTATATTATCAATATAAGTAAGAAAATATTCATCTAAATTGTTAATATTATAGGTTTCATAATTTATGCTTGTCACAACTGTTTATTTTTGCTCCTTGATGCATGGGTAACAATATTTATTGATATATTAATTTACAAAAGATATATTATATTAAGACATATAAGTGTTTCTTTCTTATTAATAGGAATTAGACAAATGGCAAGATGAAGACGAAACAAAAACAAATATGAAAATAATACTTGAACTGGATCAAACTGTAAGAAATATTTTTGAATTTTGTATATTATTTTAGATTTCATTCTCATTAATGTAAATTAATTTAAAATATTGTGGATTTAGGATTTTTAACTGTTTTACATGATAGTTTGTAAATAAATAAAGATGTATGTATATATTTTTGCTTTTAATACCCACTAGAATTAGTAATACAGTAGAGCATCGATTATTCAACTCCTGATTAACCGTCACATCGGTTAACCAACCGTTCTAGTCAGCAAATTTCAAATGTCTGCTAGTGATGTGGCGCTACAATATTTGGCTATGTCTTGGCTACTTTAATATTATTTTTGTTAAATTTTTGCATGTTTTAGCTGGCAATACTGGCTCAACCATTGAAGGGAGGCCAGTATTTAAACGAGACTTAATTTTCTAATTATGAGTGGTTGTTTGTTTTGTGAGCAATAAAATAATTTAAAAATAATTTTTAACGATACAATAGCAACGATTATTAATTTTTTAAAGAATTTGTTAGGCTTAACATTGATGAAAATTCAACGCAAAGTTGGTTAATAGCGATATACTAATATACTATAGTAATAATGTATTTTTTTCATTCTTTTCGGTTATCCGATTTTTCAGTTATCCGACCAACCTGAGTCCCCAATTGAGTCGGATAATCGATGCTCTACTGTATATTATGTTAGTGATGTTTTAATATACTATTTGTTTTATTGTTTATATAAACAAATCTACAAATGTAATATTAGTAACAAACAAGTAAAACGGCAAAATCGTATTTGGGACAAGACTATGTCTCGGAGACTCACTACTAAATGGAATCACTTTGATGCTCAAGGCGGTTCTCATTCTCCAATCTTTGATATTGCTGCTTTTGGGTGCATTCGTTCAAACTTTGCCGGCCACGACCATGAGATTGTCCACAATGCATTTTTGATGAAATTAACCTATCCAATTTCAAAATTTCTCTGCATTGCGTATCAGCCTGGGTTGAATTTTTGTCATGCATAATGAAAATTTCCTGTTTTTGAAAAAAATAATCGTGGCTATTATATCGTTTGAAATTATTTTTTATTTTGCACAAACAATATACAGTTTAACCTGATTATAACATCATCCAATGTAACAACAACCTTAATATAATTTTTATTAGTCCCACGATTTTACTATACTAGATAATGCTACAAAACCTACTTGTAATGACATAAAACCCTGTTTTATTGTCATATTTGAAGCACTCCCAAATTTACAAAATTAGATTACAAATTTTATTTAATTTAACAAAAAAAATACTACATGTTCAGTCCTAGGGTCAAGAGTCCACTTCCTAGAATGACTGTTGGTGGTACTCTTTCCACCTGACTTCGGTTCTGAAAATGATCCTAAGTTATATTCATGATGTATTTTTGGACTTTCTAGCCAATCGTTAGTGGTACAAAAGCTATTGCCACAAAACAGTTTTGCATATATTAAGAACATTGGAGAAATAAATTTAGTTTTTTGTATTAATAGATAATAAATAAGAAATAACTTAATAATTAAAGATAAATGTTCAAAAGAGCCACTTCTGGCATGATTTCAAATAACAATTCAAATAGAAAATTCAGCATTAGAAAATATAATTTGGTTCTACCTATAATTTCATGTAGAAAAGAAACCCATATTCAAACATATTGAATAAGTTTTTCTTTTGATGAAATTTAAAAATTTAGGTTTAGTAGCATTGTTTTATTTCATTCTCTTGTAGTTTTTTCATAAACTTTATAATCCATTATTAAGTCAGTTCTAATTATTTCTTAAGGGAGAAAACCCATTTTAAGCAAATTGTCATTTTTTTATATTAAGTATATTTCTTGATTAGTGCAATAATATTCTGGAATGCATTACCACATTAACCAGGATTCTTATATATTCATGAAACTTGCAAAACAAAAACATTCAAATTTGAATATTACTTTTACCTACTAAATAATTGTCATATTAAATAGATACTGATGATAAACTTTAAATACTTTGTAAACTTTGGATAGATACATTTGAATAACATATCTGCTAGATATTGTAAAATGCAATATTAATAAATAAATATGAATCTCACAATAAAAAATATCAAACTAAAAAGGTGAAAGATATGAAATTGTAAGTTGAAAATTAAATAAATAAATTGTTACTATAAAATTGATGATGATAAACAATTAATCTAATACAGATTAGTTTCAAATTATAGTTAATGATTACAAGAAATATTAATTAAGTATAATTTCTTCATTTCTTTATTTAATTTAGTGATAGAGAATGTTTGAAATTATTTAATTTAATGCTCACTAAATTCAGCCATTATAATTACAGTCTTGATAATTATTTTTTATAATATTTTCAAACCTTTTATTTAATATAAATCTTAAAATAAGTAAATAATGTTTTTGCCATTTTAGGTTAGTGATCAACAAGTAACTTTAGAAAAGGCAGGAGTTCCTGGATTCTTTGTTACTAACAATCCAAATGAAATCAGACTGCAGATGTATTTATTAGAATTTATTATTCGTATAGGTAGTTCAGAGGCTTTCATGTCAAATAATTGAATCCATCTTTTGTAAATATTTTTAATAGATTGCTATTTGTAAAAATTTTGTAAATATATTTGAAAAATTTTGAAAAGTTGTATTTTCTTTCATACTGTACTTATAAATTTTTGCAGATATAATTTTAAAAATTTTGGTTTATAAATTTATAAAATAACATTTTAAGTAATAAAGTAATAACTTTCAGAAAAATAAATGAATTTTAATTAAAAAAAAATATAGATATGAAATTGAATAACATAAATTATTATTATTATTGAAGCAATTATTCCCCCAAATATTCTTTGTTAATTAATGAACAAAATTATTAAATAATAGAGGCCAGTAAAATGCATGCTACAATGTGCTTATCCACAATATTTTCAAGAATGGTGAACTACTACTATATTTAACTTTCAGAAATACATAAATTGTAGAATTGTACAAAATTTTGAAGCATATATTGATTATGAACAGAAAATTAATTAATTAATTAATAATCATTATTTTGCATACTGATTGATGATAAATATGGGTAAATTATTCCCTTGGATTATTAAAAAAAAAAACATAAAATTATACAAATAATTAAGTTTTAGGAAAAAATATACTATTTTATAATTGGAAATAATGTTAACATGTTTTTATATATTGTTCAACAATCTATTTCAAGGCAGTTAACACCTTAACAGAATTTCTGACAAATGAAAAAACTCATAAATTTGAGTTTCACTTGCTCTACAATATTTACTTTTTGTTTTAAAAAATTCAGTTGTTTTGTGGAATTTTAATGGGGTTTTGAAAAATTCTTAAAATTAACAAGTTTCTATAAAAATGTTTCTAAACATTGTAAAAGTATATATTTAATTACTTCTTAAAAGAAGTACTTTATTTCTTTCATTCAAATTAGATAAGTTTTTTGTATGAAAGTATAAAAATCACTGCTTTTATACTTTAATTAAAGGCTAATTTCTTCTCTAAAAACATTTTTCTACCAATAAAAAAATCTAGTAACAAGTTGCATAACTTTCCCAGCTTTTATGAGATTTTTATTTTAAAAATAACATTTGTATTATTAATCAAAATAAATAACTAAAATTGTATGTGGTGCCATCTGTTATGAGATTTTTTTATAAACATTTTATATATTTGTAATTATAAAATAGCAAAAGACTTAATTTCGAGGNAAATAATATTTTGTAAAGTAAACAATGAAAAAGTAATAATAATTCGTATGAAAATATTTTCTCGTAAGTAAGTACTTAGACGGAAATGTAAAATTACAAATTTATTTTAAAGAAATCTTGAATTCTATTACATTTTTCCTCATAAAACTTTATGTATTTTAAATTATAAAATAGCAAAAGACTTAATTTCGAGGATAAAGATGAGTTTTATAAAACACTGTAAATGCTAACAACAAAGTAAAATCTTCATCAAGTCTGATCCCTTGCAAGATATAACATGTGACCACCCTCTATCTCTTCATACTCTTGACAACAAAAATTTAATAGCACTAATGTCCTTTATATGCAAGATACCTTGCCAAATTTTGTTCCTTTATCTTCACCCTGTCCTGAGATATTAATTGAAATACATGCCAACATATACATACATATGCACAGAAATTTTTGCCTTTTTTTTTACTTTTTTGATTTTAGGGGTCTCAAAATATGGAGATTTGAAAAAAAACTTGGAGGGCCAAATTTGACATGATTTCCATACTTTTACTTTTTATGTATACATAAACTAAAAAGCAAGTATTAAAGGGAAAGAAAAATACTTGCCTTTTAGTTTATGGATTGACATAGGACTTCTCCTGAAATGATATTCCTTTTAAAAAGATTTATTAAAATTCAAAATAGCATTGAAATAATCTATTGACTTTAGGATATCAGTTTGAAAAAAAATCGAAACAAAAATTTAAAGAAAAGTTTCAAATTTTGAATAATTTTACACACAAACTTAGGTTTGAGTTTAATGGTAGTCTATGTTTCCCACAGGGTTCCAGAGAGTAACTACATGGAATTTGATCTAGATCAAAGGGTTTGGGAGTTTGTAAGGGAGAAGAAATCAGCAGGAAGAAGTGTACTGACATAGATGTACTTCATCACAGCTGTGACTTTCTTTTAGGCATTTTATCAGACAATAAAGCTCATTCACATGTCTACACCTTAAAGTAACTGAAAGAACTCAATTTATGTAGGTAGATATCTCATAAGAAAACTAATTCTTAATTTTAAATGATGGTATAGTAGAATTAATACTAAAACAATAAACAGACAAAAATACTATAGGGATACAAACAAAAATTTAGTTTGATCTCAAAAGTAAATTTGCTCATTATAGTTGTATCTGATAACATAAGAGTATTATTATAAGAAACAAATAACTAAGACAATATAAACAAAGCATATGCACAACTACCCAAACTGCATGAATCAAAACTTAAAATATAAGAAAATAAGTTTAAAAAGCACACCAGGTGACAAAGGGGATTGACCTTGAATGGAACAAACATATGATAACATGAGACAAATGCTACAGTAAAAACATCACTCTCATGCATTTTCCTTTTTTAATATGAAAACAGTATATGGCCTATATTCATCTGGAAGAAATAAGCTTATTAATAGTAAAAAAGTTTAAAAATCAGTTCAGTAGATTCCAAGATTATCTATAGCAAACAAAAAAAAATTATTGATATTAGTATAGATATAAATGAATCTGAAAGAATTCTGTATTTTGTTTTTACTTATTTATTACATTGACTTCTGACATATGTCAAAAATACTTATATATAATTATATATGTAATTTATATTATGTAAGATTAATATTCCAAAACTGTCCAAAATTGTAATCTATATTAGCTTTCTTTCTTGTTCAACATCAACAACATCAAAGAAATTTCAGTTTTTGCAAACAACCAGTGTAAATACTTGTAATTTTGATACTAATAAATATATTTAACACATTAACTCCAGATTATTCAGTTATTATTTTTCAAATACTCAAAATTTTCTGAGCTTAAACCTTTAAAATTTTATATAAACATCTCAAAAACCTGATATATATTAATAATAAACTAACCAATAGACAAATTAATCAGGCAGGAATTAAACTACAAATATTTGTAGCTTAATTCCTGCCCAATTAATTTGGCTGTTGGTTAGTTGATTTTAAAATTTTAAACAAATTTAAACTATTTTATTCTGTTTTTTAAAATAAAAATTTGACAATGTTATTTTCTTCGTAATTAAATATCTCAATCCATATCTGGTTTTAGATTATTTTTTAAAAATGTTGTGACATTCTACTTTTACAGAAATAAAACTTAATATAGTCACATGATTTTCTCTACAACAAAGATAAGTTGTGTGCAACAATGATGTGTCCAGAATAAGTTTCAGTCTATCCAACTTTGTAAGAAAATATCTAAAAAATGAAATAAAAATATCTGGATGAAAAAATAAAATATCTGAATTCATTAGGCTACATACTACAGTAGAACCTCGAAAACTCGGCCCTCGATAACCCGGCACTCCGGATAACTCGTCCACACCCTGGCAGGGCAAAAAAATCCTTAGTTAATTAATTTTCATTATAGACAGCTTTATAAAAGTATAAAAGCTCTCATAAAGTCTTTTTCTGAGGTCTGTCTTATCAGGTAAATTACTGTACACAGTGTATTCATTAATTTTCATTTTCATGTAGTAAAGTACGTAGCCTTCATAAAGTACGTAGTTTTCCTTTGTTTAAGGGTATTTGGGCAGTTTATTCTCTGTTATATTCTCAAGTAAACAATACATACAAGTACAGTACAGTATTTTCTGAGGAAACACTCGTACTTATTTTTTTTAACCCCATTCCCGATAACCCGGCATTTTCACAAACTCGGCCACCCTTCGGTCCACATTAGGCCGAGTTTACGAGGTTCTACTGTATAATAAATTAATTTTAGGAAAAAAACTAGACAATGATAAAAGTACTTAGATCTAGATACAAAATATTTAGATGCAAAAATATTAGCAACAGTGAGTGTAACAGGGGATTATTTAGTTGCAAAATTGCCATTTTACCCAAGGCTACACTATTTTTACTTCTTGTATATTTGCCACTTTTAAAATTTTACCAAATAAACAGGACAAAATGACAAACTGGCTCAATAATCTGATAATCTGGTCTCAATCATTTTAGTCTTTGTTCATAATTAGGCTTACCAGACGTCCTGTTTTGACTGGGATTGTCCCAGTCAAAACAGAATGAACAAAGACTAAAATGATTGAGACCAGATTAAGATGGAAAGTAAATCCATATAATCAAATTTATTAGGTATTTCCAATATAACAAAGAAATAAATATCAGGAAAATTAGTACACCAGATGCCCGTTATGAAAAATATTCATTTTACAACACTCCACTTTTATAATTTGTATAAATTTTCTATTATGATAAATCATATTTAAGTATTATATTTTTTTGTTGGCTTGTTATATACAGTAGAGCATCGATTATCCGAAACAATTTGGGACTGGGGTTGTTCGGATAACTAATCATTTAAAAAAAATATATTAAACACCGTACAAAACTGTATAGTGTTTATATACTGTACAAAACTATACTGTATATAATTTGTATCACATGTCTTACAAATACATACCTTACATAATGTAATACATTAAGCTAGGCCTACAGTTCAGTTTGGCAGTGGGGGAAGAGGACTGCAGTGCTGCAGCCCTAGCAGAAATTTGAATTTGCCGACTGGAACCCTTTTGGTTAATCGATGTTTTGGTTGATTGGTATTCAGATAATCAATGCTCTACTATAGTTCAAACTATACTTCCATGAATAGCATGCAATTTGTGGCATTGAACTTATAAGAAATTAATTTGATTTACAACAGTTCACTTAATAATGTTCCTAGAACTAATTAGTTTGTAAAAAGTAATCTTTATAAAAGTAAAGATCTACTGTATCTTCATAGTTTTGATAATGACATATCAAAACTGTGAAGTATATGATAACTGAGCCATTGAAACTGAAAGTGGCATAAGTTATTTTTCAAAAATTCACTATACCTTTAAAATGCAGTCTAGTTTACATCTGTCGAACATTTTCGGTCTGATTCACAAACCTTCATCAGGATCGAATTATCAATCGTTCGACAGATGTAAACTAGACTGCATTTTAAAGGTATAGTGAATTTTTGTTAAATAGTAATGCAGTTAGAGATAGAATGAATAGAAAGTTATTTTTCATCTGTAGGAATATTTTATATATAGGAAATAGGACTCAACATCATATATAAACCCAATTTATTAGTTAAATCAAATTAGTTATTAGTTAATTTTATAACAAACATGTAAATAATGCTATCAGGAACTGAAACACAGCAGCAACATAATTTTGGGAAAAACTGACTTGCACCACTTTTGCTTTCAATGGCTCAACTATCAATGTGATGAAGGCAGTTCTGTCAAGCTTTTTCTGAATTGTAAAAATTCCTATAGATGTATTACATTTATAAATGAAGATTAAAATTCTTTTTGGATGGCTAATTTTAATTTGCTTATAATTATTGTTGTAATTTGAAATAATCTACTTTAAATATAATTTTTGCTTCAATATCATTTATCACTTTTAGCATCAAATTCAAATATTGTTCATCATATTTCAAATTATTAACATTAAAAAATCTAATTCTCTTAATATATAAAAGGCTCTTTTGTTTTGTTACACTATAATTTGGTTTATAAACAATTTACATATCAGTTAAATACATCTCCAAATTTGAGCTTGTACTTTTGTTTTTTAAATGTTTGTTTTTATACATTATTAGCTGTAAATATTTCTTTAATATCTTTAACCTTAAAGCAAACTGAATTCATAGCATTTATAGCATTTATAGAATTTGAAGTCTTAAATTCTACCTGTAAGAAATGAGCAACTAGTTTAGCTATCTGATTTGTCAATGTTTCAGGCTAAACATAGATAAATAGAATTAAAATTATTATTAGATTATTATTTAAAACACTGTAAACATATTTGATAATTATGAATATCTAAACTAATCTTAATACAATATTATAAGTGAGAAGATATTTTACATTATTGGTTTTAAAATAAATTTTTGTATATTCTGTTATTAAAGTTAAAAATTAATTGTTTTGGTGTAAAAAATTTTTTAGCACAGATTTTTAAAGATTTTTGAATAAATTTTTTTAAACTCAAAATTCAACATTACATTAAAAGGTATAAAACTAAAAATTTTCAAAAATAAATAACTTCAGAAATGGTAATTTTATGGAGACTTGATTAACTGATAGTTTAACCAAACTTTCACATTATCCAAAATGAATTGTGGAAAAGTACTTTGTCAACAAAGACAAGAGGACATAGAACATTAGCTGTACCTATCTAGTTGAAAAGTTTATTTCACAAATTTTGGCAGGGTTCTAGAAGTTTTTAAAATTTTATTCTGGAAACTTCTCATAATATTTACAAATTTTAAAAACAATTAAAATGAAAACATATTCTTTTATAGTATAATTTAAGTCATCATGTTCAATAAGTAGATTTAACCGAAAAATAGAATACTCCAAACATTCCATGTTACCTGCATTTTTGATTATCCAAGATACTCTGATTATTCACTTTACATTGGATAATTGATATTCTACTACATTTATAACATATTTAGCAATACTGCAGTATTTTGAGTTAGCAGATGTATTTTAATATTTCAATAAAATTTCTTTCTTTATTTTAATAGTAATTTAATGATATCTATAGTTTTTCTTTGTTGACTATTTACATATCTAAGTGCTTGAAATGCAATATTTATTTAATAAAGTCACAGTACATACAAACTATATATCATAACAACAGTCATTGAAAATATTTTTTAAATGAAAGATTTAATGAGAAATAAGATCCCAAGCTAGTGAGATTTTATTTCTGTGGGCATTTTTCAGAAATTTTTTTAGAGGGGAATGCAGAAAGGAATCTATATGTCTTATTAAATGTTTTACTACCTGAGATACTACCTGGCTTTACTTGCTAGTTTTTACTGAGTAAAACCTCAGAAGAGGTGTGCAGCTGCATTCTGCACATCCTTAAATCTGCCTCTGCTTATAAAATATATTATCAAAATGAAGTTTTTTGTTGATATGGTACAAAATTGATGCTGGAGAGTACATTGAAGCAGAGTTAAAATGGTTTAATAAATATATCAAATATAGATTGTAGGTTTACTCTTAGAAAATGGTTGATAACATCATACAAAAAGGTCCATTTTTTTTTCATATCACCAACCAGAACAAAAGGGTTGAAAGAAAATTTAGAGCAGAGTATTTTGCAAAAGACCATCATTATTCTGTTTTGTTTTTTGCTTATATAAAAATAATTACAATGCTAGCTGAGTGTCAGTGATACTCAGCAGAGATAAATTCTTGCCCCTTGACCGTTATTATTATTATAGAATCTGTTACATATGAAGTGGTTATTTAACATACTAAGTATATAGTACAGATATATTTCAATAATGTATATTTCACTTTATACAAAAAGTATTTTTATAGCATATATTATTTATATAAGAGCTATTATGAGTGTTTTTTTTTATTATGATGATATTTAATGTGTCAACAATACCTCATTTAAAAGTAAACTCATCCTATAAGAATCCTTTCCTATCCTTTAATAAGAATGTCAATTAATTCTTTAAACTTTAATTTATTTTTATTATAAATAACAACTACATAAAATTTATTTTGTCATTAACAAATGTTAAATTCTTAACTTGATTATTCATAATACCGAATATATATCTGAAGCTAATTATTAAAAGCTCAGGAAATTTATTTTCTCTTCTCTCTATTTTTTTTTAATTCTTGTTGTTAAAAAAGCAGGATAATATTCAAAACTATTATTAGGATAATCATCAAGGTTGCTGTAGGCAAAACAGTGGCAGCTGCCATAAAGCACAGAATAAATATAACCTGGTTACACATACAGTACGTGCGGTAGTCGTACGTACTGTAGTATAGCTTATGTGAATCGATACTAACTTTTACATCACAGCTGGATCAATACCTTTACCTGTGAACAACCACATTTGTTTAGTGATGTCATGGATTTTGTGTGTGACATCATACCATAACGATTGGACGCTTTGGAGTAACCACACCTCCTCTCGAATCCCAAGGTCATTTGAAGGTCGATTCGGCACAACTATGTCAATCAGCTCTTGTTCAGGGTCGGAAAGCGCTGTCTTCACGGTCGCCATCTCAGTTCAAGGACGAACCTCGATGCTTCTTCCGTGTAGCGGCCTTGGATCGAAAACCTTTGTTCGCTCGTTGTAGATGCCATGCAACCACGTTCTAAATATTGGTAGCGTCGAAACTTTATCGATTCGTTCTCGTGTACCTCCATGTTTAAATGTTAAATGTCGTCGCGCGGATAAATAAAGCACACGAAAACCAACCAATAGCGTTAGAGAATTTTAAATTCAAAATTTCTTATCCTCGGCGGGCATGCGGAGACTTCCTTAGCATTGTGAACGAGATTGCGAAGAGAGAAAATATTACTTTTTAGAATATCCCCGAACAAGATGGCTTCACTACACGTTTGGGGAGCATTGCTGGTCTGCATCATACACTAATTGGGTTATCGGCGATACACGTTTAAAATAAATAGCAATGAATTAATCGGATCGGTTTTCCAATTACGTTTATTTTATTTCCTACTCAGATTTTGTTATTAATAAGGTTAAATAAATACAAACAAAAAGGGAAAATAAATTTTTCTATGCGTATAATTTGCGTCGCCCTTTGCTTTATGGGTTATTATGTCTGTAGGTCGTTACTGGTAAATAAAACGTATCTGTGTCATGTTCGCCATTACAGAAATGTCGATTGGAGGTCAAATAAAGGAAAACGAGAACGCTAGTATTTCTAATTGGTACACATTACCTTTACACAAGGTTATGTTTCGTACAAATGTAGCACAATCCATTTAGATTTAGGTTGATTCCGGCACAAAGTTTTGGTTTTATGAAGGACACAAACACGCCTGATTGATATCGTATCTAATTTTCCATTTTTCCTTGTTTAATTATTACTTAAGAAGAATTTTTATTCTACGAGACCGCGCGAGTAAATTTAACTTTTCTTTTTCCTTTTTAAATTTTATTTGAATGAATTTTTATATGAGGCTTTTACAGTTTTACATTATTAAAACAATTATTTCATTTTTCCCGATTGAAGAAGCAACTTTCTGGAATTCTGTATAGTTTAAAAGGTATTTTTTAAATTATTTAAAGGCAGATTTTTTTAGAAAATTCGTAAAATTTGTTTTTAAGTTATACTGTATTGTATTTAAATTATATTTTTAAAAAGTAATGATTATTCCATTTCGCCTCAATCTATAAAACAAGCAGCAGAACACCAGTAGCAATGGGCTTATAGATCCATTAGCACTGCTCCTCATACTTCTATACACAAAAATTAGTATATTTTTGTAATATATCAATAATATACCAAATAAAATATTTAATAATTCTTAATTTTATTATAATTATGCAAATTTTTAAAAATTGTTTAAAAATTTATAACAATTATTTTCTGATTAGGATCAATCTGCTATTTTTCTATCACAGTAAACCTCCAATTATCCGAATAATTGAATTTTTGCTTAAAATAGTCAATTTTTCTTTTTATTCAAATACCTCGTTATGTATTGTACGTGTGTACATAATTATGTGGAAATAAACTGTATTCGTTTGTAGGAGTATTGTATTTTCTACATTTAGAAAAAATTATTTTTTATACATATATAGTACATAAAAATAAATAGGCATGTATGTATTTGTTAGTAGGAAGGAAATCCTGATAACTGGAGTTTTATGGTACTTTAAAATAAAATTTTTGATTTCTTTTTAGATTAAAATCTCAAAAAATCCCCAAGTAATCCACTGAGTCCCAAAACAAATGAGATAAATTGTGGAATAAAAATTTACCGACGAGAGATTATGCAGGTGTGTACTGTACACCGGCTCATCTCATTGAACTTATTATGTATTATTTTCTCCCCTCCTCCATTCTGAAAGCAGGAAAAAACATCGTACAATTGCTCATAATTCCGAAATAATTATAAATTTAGTTCTCATACAAGGTTAAAGAATCACCGTACTCTTATCGAAAACAATTAGAATAAGCACTTAAACCCACTTCCCTCTTTTTAATATAAAAATATGCCACTGAATTTGAAATGGAAGAGTTCATTTTACTCTAAAGGATGGGGAAAGTGAAGTCAATTTTCCTCCAAAAATAAAATTGCGATAAAAATCTCTCTCTTTTTTACGTTAATATTGAAAAAGGAAACGTTTAAAGTCGATAACCTTTGTCCTTGAACCTGCTGATAATATAATTACGCCTTCTAATGAAACCAGTTTAACAGGTCATAAACTTGATTACATCACATTGAAAATGGTATGTCACACGATACTAAATAAAAACTGTATAGCTAATGTCTAGTTTTTTTGGTGCGTTTATTATTAATTAATAATAATATTTAAAAAGTCGAAGCGAAACAATAATTAAAGCTTTTTATTTAAATTATTTAGATGATTGAAAAATAAGTTTTACATGCTTTTCAGATAAATTTTATTTGCATTAAACAATCTCAAGAGATTAAAAACATGACTGCACTCTCTCTTCTAAACAGAGCGGCTGAAAATAAAATTTGACGGGGCAAAATCTCTTTATCACAGTATTTTTAAACAACATTTAAACATTCGAAACCGAGATAATTTTACGTTGACATAAATTGAAAGCGCTGAATACTATTTACAAAAGCGGCTGTGACAGATGATTATTTTCGAATTGACTTGATTTGGATGTTCAAATTATTCGTCTTTTCCCGTGGTCAGGAGTAATAAGGCCTTTTGTAAATTATCTATTGCTGTTGATACATCTTCATACTGTAAGGCACTGCCAGCCCATTTGCAGTACTTCTGAGCTTTGTGAAAATCTTCAGGACAAAGCACTATGCCATCTGAATAAGATAATGACAACCAATTATTAAAAAACAATTAAATATTTACGAATGGAACAAATAAATTTTAATCTCAGATAGTTTAACATGCTTCTCTGGCAACAGTTACTTCATTCTGGAAAACATTTAAGCTCAATCCAGTTCTGATTTGGCTAACTTTCATCATGCATAAATACCATTTTTTAAATGTTTTAAGAATACAACAAAGATATACATACTAGGAGTTTTAGCTTGTGTATAACTACTTCCTCCTGATGGAGATGGCAGAGTTGAACCACTAGGTGTAGACGGAGGTGCATGTACTCCTGGTGCTGGAGTGAGTAGAGAATTAGGAACACCGGAATTAGGAGTAGGTAAAGCAGGAGGAGAGACATAATTAGTTGGCTGATTCCATTCACTTGCGGATGGATTGTTCCAGGATTGTTCTTGTGTACCTTCTGAGAATTCATCAGAGTCTAAAATAAATATCAACCAATTTTTTAGTCTGATATCTTTAAAATACAAAAGCAAAGATAAGTGAAAAAAAATTTAGTTCTACAAACAAGTGACAAATTAAAAGCATGAATGCACTTACATTATTTTAGTACAAAACTCTTATTTATATTTTAATTATTATTATTTTTTTAATTTATTATTTTATAGTTTCAGCATTTTATTTCATCCAAAAAATAAATTACTGTAAATAATTCTAAATAATACTTTATTTCAATTTGAAATAAAATATTACATACAAATGCATACAAAATGACAGACAAGCTAGTGTTTACTTTCACCTCTTCATAGCTGGCAAAAGCAAAATTTAGGAAAGAGCATTGACAACCCACAAATTGGAATAAGAAATTGAAAATGCAGAGGGAGTTAGGAAATAAATATTTATCATGCAGTGGGCAAATTAAACCAACTGTAAAGCCCCCAAATGAGGTGAGGGGAAAATCATTGCATGTTCCATTTGCACGAGCTGCAAAATTCATGCACATGATTATGCTGATAATGCTATTGTTGTGATGTTTACTGTTGATTTTGGGAAAGTCTGCAACAATATTTGCAGAAAGGCTGGCTATAACATGTTGCATTTGCAGAAAATTAAATTGTTTGAAGATTTTAAAGCATTGACACACAATCAGCAAACAACTATGGAATCTGTACCAATCACAAGGAGGCAGAGAAAAATCTACTTCAGGTATGATTATTGTTTACTCTATTATCTCATGTCTGCATTTTTACAAATTTGTCATGACAATATGCAAAACAGTGATATAATAATACATACTGTAGTTTCACATAAGTACATCAATAACTTGCATAAATAGTGTAATCATCAATGCTTAGCAGCAGAAAGTTTGCCAAAAAACTATATGACATTTTTTGTTATGTAAAGACATCTGCAGATTATACAGCAAAAATTAACTTCTGGTGCTAATCTCAGTGACAAGAGGGTTTGAATTGACCTACTGTCATAAAAGATGAAGTAAAAGATGCAACCAGCTTGAGAAACATTACTTTCATGGTAAGTGTGCTACAGATCAGTTCTACTTGACACCTGACCTGCTGCTTTCATAAATGCAAGATAATTTTAAGAAAAATGTGAACCCCAATGTAAGTATTTAATATAATTTTGAAGATAACCTTTACTAGATAGAGCCAGTATTTTACCTTTTAATGGCTTTTCTAACACCATATTTTCTTGTCTGAATTTAATCTAAAGTTTTGTCAGCCTCGGTCCAACACATGTAGAAAATGTGATGAGCTCTATGAAATTAAAGCAGCCAACTCTGAACAAAATGAAGAAAAAATAAGAAAAGAAAGTGAAGAACACCATGTCAAAGCTGACAATGCTATGAAACACTTAAGAATGACACAAAATTTGCACAGCAGAAAGAAAAAGTAATAGTTTTGCATGCAGATAAGCAGAAAGTCCTATTTACACCCCATTCTGAGATGTTTTACCTCCGGCAGTATTCATGTGATAATTTTTGTGTCAATTGGCCTACATAGGGAACAGCACTATGTACTGTATCTGTGGCTTGAATCTATAGATAAAAGGGGTTCAACAGAAATACTTCTTTTATTATAAATTTTATAACAACCAAATATGAAAAACAATGATTTGAGGATAAAAGTTTATCTTATGGTCAAGACTGTTATATTGGACAAAGCAATAACTGGACAATGGTTGCAATGGTGCTTTACCTCATCAAACAAAGTTTTGCATCATAGTAGAGCAAAAATTTCTGTCGGCACAGCTTTCTGCCATGTTACAGAGATTTTGCTCACATTGAGAAAAGAAAGTCTGTTTCAGCACTAATGATGCCATCAGACTGGTTCACTATTATCAAAGACAATCAATTGGCTAATCCTTTCCCCATCAACAAGATAGTTCAAGATAACAAAAGGGCATCGGTATTTTAAAAAATTTTTTGAGAGACCAAAATGTCTGAAAATTACCTCAGCAGTGGGTTCAGATTAAGTCCAATAAACTTACTGTCATTAGAATAAGACTTCCATGATGTTTTGCAACCATGTAATGCATTTTTCTTATTGCCATTGAACAAAAGTCATGCACACTACTGTTTGCATGACTTGTTCTGGATCTCTTTAATGGACTGCAGAACATCCATCTGCCATCAGTAAACTGCTTCCAATAAAAAGTGCAAAGAAGAAAGAAACTTACACACAGACAATAGGTCCAGAAAAAGCAGATTTTTATCGATCTCTGAAGTCTGGTAATGAAAATAATAATACTGACTAAATCCAAATAAAGCATACAGTAACTTTCATTTTGACAATCTGTGCTTTCATTAATTATTTATTTATAGGTTTGAATATCAAGAGCTATTATGTCACAAGCAACATTTTTCCATTAGCACATCTGTTTTGTTAATTCCCCAAAAACATGCAGCTTTTAAAATGCTGTGGCATCAATAAGAAAGTAGACATCAGTTACAAGATCATCGCTCATTAATTTTTCAGTTTCCAAATACAAAACTATTGAAGTATTTGACTGTATGAAAGAGAAAAAACAATATAAAAAAATTATTTCTAACATTCTCCTCTCTTATACTTTAATATTTGTATTATTTTAAGTATAAATATTTAATTATAAGAATTCAATGACTATCAGAAAAGAAATTTTTAAAATTTGACTTAATTCTTTGTACTTGACTCACATTCCTATGATCCAAAAGTCAAAATGACTCAATAGTTTAGGTGTAGTGCAAGCCCTATAAAGATCAACTATTAATACTGCAATATCTAGATATTAATGCCAAGATAATGTACAATTTATTAATTTTATATTTCTTAATACTTAAATGAATTTATTAACTAAAATCAGCTAATTTGATTATGTTACAAATTATACAGTATACAGTACAGTCGACCCCCCTATAATTACGATTCCTATAAAACTACGAAAAAATTGCTACCGGTATCCGTAAAAAATAGTAAAAGTTCCCTATAAACACCTCAAACGTCATCGGGCAGCCGAACTACTTTCCCGCCGTCCGTAGCGCCACGCTACGGAGAGATTTCTATCGTCTGGACAGTATTATATAAATTATATATAAATTAGGTACTGTACATATAATTATATATTAATTATATATAAATTAGGTACTGTATATATAATTATATATTAACTTATTGTAACTTTGTTATAATTAAATATATAATTTCCGCCGTCTAGCGTGGCGCCACGCTACGGAGATTTTTACGCTAACTATCGTCTGTCAGTATGTAAATTAGGTACCGTAAGTCTAATACAGTACTGTAATTTTATACATTTCTTGTGAAAGAAACATTTCTTATTCAACGGCGATTAAAATTATTTATATTAATGATGTCTCCGAAGTTCTACGAAGTTTTCACAGAAAAATAAGTTGTTAGAAATCGGCCGCTCTTTGCTGAGCTGTTCCGCGACGAAAACAATGTTGAGCAATGGCAATGTCGAATGGTGACACTCGGTAAGTAATCCTACAATTTTTTGTTTATAGCGTAGTTTATACGGATTATTCCCAAAAAATATATACGTATTTTGGAAATGTTGAGTCGGATTAGTCTAGAATCGATTAATTTTATGGAAGAAAATCTTTCAAACAGCCGTAGTCCGTAAACTTGATACGTGTCGGGTTGTGATTGGAAGGATTCGTAAGAAATCGGATTCCTAAAGAATGGAATGTATCTCTATCTTATAGGGGGGTCGACTGTATACTATTAGCTATTATAATATAAATCTAATATTCACATGAAATAAGATGAAATGTATATGTCTATGTAAATGTAAAATTTTATAAATTTAAAAATACATAATCATTTTACTAGCAGTCATCTCAAAATATAATTCAAAAAAGTATTATTTTCAGTTTACACTTATATTTAATAGAATAATTTTATATTCAATACAAATTTTACCTTGATTAGCAGGACCAGGTATAGGAGTTTCTCCATTTTTCAAACAGTTGTGAATATATGTAGCTTTCCATTTGGCATATTTCCTATTGTGTGTAACCTGTTAAATTAAAATAATAAATAATTAAATTTTATCAAAATTGTTTTCATAAATTTTTAAAAAATGTATTGTTTTATATACAATTTCACTAAGCAATAATTGCATCTCAATCTTCATCAGCTATGATATAGCTTTGCACAAAGTTTTACTTTTATACATAAAGATTTAGTCAATAACATGATTAACTTTCCATAAATAATACTCAGAATTTTCAGAGATTGTAATATATTATCATCTATCAATAACATAACTAAAATTATTCATTACTAAATCAACCAAATCAATATCATTATATATATTTTTCAAAATTTATTAATTTTTTTATATCTAAAATAGCTAATTATCCTGGATTTTGATTAGTTGTTTTGCATGGCAATGAGTCCTGTTTTAATGTAATTTGTTCTGCTTGCTCCCACAATTCCAGCAAATCATTTAATTATTGCCATTAATGGTAAAAAAATTTATATAATTTTGAAAAGATGTTTTATTAGAATTAAAAAATATAAAAATTCATATTGAAAAGTTTACAATACAATACAACAGAAAGAAGAAATAAAAAAAACATGACAGAATATTGAAATCATGTATAATAGTTATCTCATTATACGTGGGGAGAGCAATAAGTTAGTTTCAGTGGTTTGGTACAATATCAAGAATTTATTTACAAGAACATGAGATACACAGAATGATAGTCCCCAACAAATCCAATACATAGCAATAATGATAGTCCCAATTTTATTTTTAAACATATCCACCACTAACCAAACATTTGTTCCATTGGTATAACTACTTCAAATCCTCTTGTGAAAAAGGTTGTATCCAGAGCACACACAATGTGCCTCACCTTGCTCTCAACTTCAACACTGAATTCTGAAAGTAATTTCCTTGCAATTTCTTCTACAGTGTACAAAACAAGTGAAAATCATTTGGCACCAGGTCAGTGATGTAAGGCAGAAGTTGCAAATCATCCCAACCCAGTTGCTGAAGAAATTCTCATATGGCCATGGCAATGTGTGGGTTTGTGTTATTGACCAACAAAATGATATCCTCACTCAGAGACATGGATGCTTTCACTTCATGGCTGATTTCAGCTTGCAGAGGGTTGCATAGTAATGAGCACATTGTTTTCTTGAACACAGATCAACTGTCAGTCAAGACAACATTTTCTTGACCTTGGCATCCCAGAAAACAGTCAAGAAGACCTTTCCTGAAGAATCTGTCATTTTAAAAACTTTCTTCAGAGGAGAACTTGTGTACCTCCACTCCGTGGATACAACTGTTGATTCAGGGTCCAGAAAGGCATTTCCATCCATCTGATAATGAATGAGATATTCCAAACATAATTCCATTCAATCATAATAATTCAAGCTGTGAATTGGCAACGCAGCCATCTTATAGCAGTGGGAAAGCTTTTCAGTACCCTAGTGTTTCCTAAATGATAATGTTAGCTGTACCAAAGGCCAAAGCTGTGCTGTTCCAACTATTCAGCCAACTCATGCACTTTGATCCTTTTATTTTCTTGAATCAAAGAATTCACATATTTAGCATTTTCTTTCTCAAAAGAGATGGCTGGTTTGATACTCATTGCACAAATTTGTTTGCCCAGTGGAGAATTTGACATAATTTTCTGCACAGTCTGTTCAGACATTACAGCTTCAACCTTTATGAATTTCACTTCTGGATTGACCTCTAGCCCATTTGTACCAAATTACTGCCCACACCTCCTCACTAGTCCAGTTCTCTAACACTTCAATTCCCACCATCTCTTCCTGTCAACAATACAGTAAACACACTTGAAATGGCTAAAACTTCCAAAAGATGTCTGTTGTGCATGACCAAGACGTGCCAGTGCCATCATGTCAAACAACCCATTCAGATGACAAATACTGCTACCTGGAAATATAGTTGCTTTTTTATGAATCACTCAATTGTAGATATACCAGATCAGTAAAACTTATTTATTGATCTCCCCTTGTTGCATGAAACAACTGATACCTAAAACACTATTGTATAACCTAATATGTTTTACATGTATTTATTTTATCGAAGACAAGTGACAAGACATGAAGAAAACTAAGTTAATATGACATTATACAGATATATTTTATCTAAGTAATATTTGCACTATCTGATTGTATATCTAGCTCCAAAATACAAAACAAAAAAAAAAAATGTTACTTTTCTCATTTTTTAAGAATCCATTTTTGCACAGAAACTCATAATTATAGCAGCCAGTAATCAACAATCAATTAAATGTATTTGAATGATTTTTGAAAATTTGTAGCTATCAGGTTGGCCAACTGAAAATATTACATCTATATGTTCTAGTTATTAACTTAAAAAAGTTATTAACTTATTAGAGAGGTCACGGCACAAGTTCAAACATTACTTGTACACGGCAAACAGAAGTACATAGTTTACGTTTTAACTCCAAGAAAAAATTTTTGCGGTGCACATTCACATCACGTGACTCAGTGAACATCACATATTGACTCACAGGAAATTTGTTGAAAAAATGGCGGATACATTTAACATCGAGGGTTACCAGCAAAGGTAAATAAACAAATTAAACTATTTAATACATAAAAAATATAAATTCGACTTTTAACAAAGCTAAAAAGTTTGTACTTGTCCTTCTTTTCGCCGTTCTCACCATCAGCAATACTTTAAAAACGTTCACAAAAAATCACAGAGGCGACCTTCCTTTTGAGGCTACTACTTCTGTAACAATATGTAAAATCACGTAAAGCGTCCTCTGGTGATCTTGCCATATTCACAATAATACATTTTTAGCTTTGTTAAAAGTCGAATTTATATTTTTTATGTATTAAATGTAAATAACGCCGGCCATGGATTTTATTATTTTTACTTAAAATGTATTATTGTGAATATGGCAAGATCACCAGAGGACGCTTTACGTGATTTTACATATTGTTACAGAGGTAGTAGCCTCAAAAGGAAGGTCGCCTCTGTGATTTTTTGTGAACGTTTTTAAAGTATTGCTGATGGTGAGAACGGCGAAAAGAAGGACAAGTACAAACTTTTTAGCTTTGTTAAAAGTCGAATTTATATTTTTTATGTATTAAATGTAAATAACGCCGGCCATGGATTTTATTATTTTTACTTAAATTAAACTATTTTAAAGTATTTATAGGATGTTTAATAACATTAAATAATTATTTTTAATTAGCGTGGTGTCTCCTATCGTACGGGACTACCTCATACTTTTGTCGAGAGAAGTAGTGGCTTATGTAAATTCGGAAAATTAATTTTTTAGAAAATTTACAAACATATTACACTGTTGATGGTAGAAGATGCCATGGAAGAACAAACCTACCTTGAAATAAGTTATGAAAGCAAATATATGTAAATTCTATAGGCACTTCGCATCACTTGCTAAAACATTGAACAATTAAATAATTTCTGGATTAAAATTGTCTGTTTCTTTACAATATTATTTGTAAATGCTTAAATAATCATTATTTTTATTAAAATAGGTCATAATTTTAACCCCAAATACAAAATCATGAAGAAGTTTAAACCGATCTTCTACTTGCCATGCTAGATGTAGTGAACACCATTATTGACTGTCTAGAATTGCCAGACGGTGGCGCTTGACCATCCGCTGTTCACGTTTTGGGCTGAATATGACAGCTGCAACCTCTCTATTATCTTAGAATAATAATTAAATACAACAGATATTAAGTGGGTACAAAATAGACCCCTGATATTTAAAAAACTTTTTAAAAAGTACATATGTGGAAAAGTTTCATCAAATCTATGCATTAAGATCTTAAAGAACAACATATACATATTAGTAAGTTGCCAAAGTTTTACATTCAGAGAATCAATAAATAATTGCAAGTATGTGCTGTTGGGTGCAATTTGTACCCACTTAATAACAAAACGTTAATGAGTGTTACGGATTATCTGAAATTCTTTTTCCCAATGTATTTTTCATCAATCCCTCACTATACTGTAGTTGTATGAATGCCATTTTACATCAGGATGATATCAGACAGTTGTTTGAAAATTGGCAAACTCAGTTCATATATGTGCACATTTTTAACCTCTTTCCATGAATATGTGTATGACCACAGAGGAAGGAGGAGACATGAAACTAATCTTTGCTTTCTATTCTGATAAAATTTATTTATTTTAAATTCAATAATTCAGAATTCAAAAATTTCATTCTTAACTTTTTGACAAAAAGAAGTACAGGGTGTATCACAATGTTTTGACAATTTCAAAGTTAAATAACTCATGTTAAAACTGAGATATAGCGACGGTGGTGCCCTCTATCAGTAGTGCGGACTGTCAACTCTCATCTCATATAGGTTACTATGTAGTATCATGGCCTACTGGTCAAAACAACATCGTGCGTTTGCAATAGATTGCTATTTTTGCATCGGCAAATCTGTTGTGCGTGTGCAACGTAAATTTCATAAACATTTTAAGATTCAGCTGCAATATCCAATTTCTGCTCATGGAACAACATTGAATTGGGTAAAAAACTTCCGTGAAACTGCCAGTACATCGAATCTGAAGTCAACCGGCCATAGGAAGACCGTACAAACTCCCGAAAACATCCATAATTTCCATACTCATTCGTTTCGAATGGCCACCTCGCTCGTCTGATTTAATCCCTCCAGACTTTTACCTATGGGGTTGTTTGAAGGAGAGAGTGTACTCTGACCAGCCAAGAAGCTTGGAACAATTAAGAGATTGAATTTGAGATGAAATTTCCGGAATTCCTCCAGCAGTTACGAAAAATGTGTTCAAAAGCTGGGTGAAATGCCTCGAGTCTTGTGTAGCTGCAAATGGTCATCATTTGTCCAATGTAATATTTCATAAGTAAAATTGAATAAATTTTTTACCTTGCATAAAATATTCAATTTTTTTTTAGTGATTAGTTTGCGAATTATTCAACTTTGAAATCGTCAATACATTGTGAAACACCTTGTACTAATAATTCAGCTTTATCAACTGAAAAGGCAGTA